GATTTCCAAAGCGTTTAATGCATCTAAAAGCTTTCTCACAGAGGTTACTTCATGAAATGGTTAAGAATACACTGCCAGATGCCGGAGACGCTGTTTAACGGTACTTTTGAAATAAGGTTTTGGCGTAAAATGTAGATTTTTTAAAAAAAAATGCAGGTAAAATGCTGAAAGTACCACTATTTCACTATTAGCAGTATTACATATAAAATCTCAGAAGACACGTGGTGGTTTTGGATAAATAAAATGTTTGCATGTTTGGACCCCTGGTTCCTATCACCACCACTGTAAAGAAAATCTGAGTTGGTAGTTGAATATCTTCTAAAGCCATACATACAATGTGTGATTTAACAAAGCCTACTATTTTTACGTTCATATTGTTCAACAACACTCTGTCCAATTAATATGCTACGTGAAATGCAACCTCTACAGACAGCTCTGTCTACGGACAATTATTAATAAAGCTGTTTCATTCAAAATAACACTCTGCACGTCAGAGTACTTAACAGACACTCTAATAAACTGTGCAACAGCAGCTTTGCCAACTTGTGCCACCCTGTTCAATCTCTCTACAGCCTACTTTACAAAGACAGTTTTAAAAATCACTGTATTAAAGTTTATATCTCTCAATTCTGTTCAGTCAAAAAAATATACATGGACTTTGGTACCACCAATGTCAAGTTTTTGCCTCTGTTTTGCTTGCCTACATGTGTCCACCCATACTTGTGAAGCGGTTGTGATTGTGTTTAAAGGTGGGCTAAAATTGCATGGTGTGTATGCCTAGTGAGAATATGCCAAGGTGAAATGTTTGAAGTGACCAGTGACTTTGTGTCCTCCTGCCACGGTGTCAGTAACACTTTGCTGTGTGAACAGACCCTCCTTCACTTCCAGCTTGAGTCATTTGTTCATTAGCACATTAGAATAGCGCTTAAAATGAGGAATGGGTGAATGTGACATTGAGTGAAATAATAGCTGGTGTGCACAAGTCGAGGTGAAATGTGTGATATGTTAATGTCATAAGGTTCAGAGCTGGTTAAAAATATTCTGACCTATAGCCCCAGAAGCCCCTGGTACACCCCTGGTACATGGTTTCGGTACATATATCCACACAAATGTGGGATAGGAGGAAAAATATAAAATCCAAGAAATATAGGATATGGGCCCTTTAAGCCAGCTTTTTACCACCAAAGCTATATGGTCAATTTCATAAAGTTCATTTTTTGTCATAAAAAGTGAGACGATCTAACACCCTCTGGTATAGCTACACTTTTCAAAATGTATCTGTGATAAGGCTTCAAACCTTCCACGATTGGCACCATTTTTCACTATAAAGGTGCAATAGACCTCTGAGGTCATGTGGCGTTTTGTAGTCAGTGAAAAACCCACGTATATGCATTTCATTAACACATGAACTTAAGGCTACCATTATACTTCAATACTTTTATTTAACAACAGCTGTTCAAACTGTCAATGACTGCCAAAGCCACTTGACTACCACGCTTGATAAAGCATGATGGCTTGCGTGGGCTATTCTGGTGAGGATGCCAGACTTTGATGTGAGTTTAATGCACAATAGTGTTAGCCCACTTGTAGCATGTGTGTAGCAATATTTGTATTTCAACCACTTAATGACGTCATTATTCAGGGCCATTCAGGGTAAAAATGTACTTGGACAAAATGTATCGGCTTTGGAACTCTCTACTAAGTAGTGCAAGAGCTGTGATTTGCAAAAATGCCATGGTATTTTTCCTACACAGAAAAAAAGCTTAGACGTGGGTGAATTACAAAATGACAACACGTCTTAGGCTGTTCGTAACCATTACTAGTAATTGCACATCTCTCAAAGCAGAAGTAATGGAAATACCTGAGTAGTGCAGTGGGCAAAGCTTTTGCTCATTTATCTGGAAATCGTAAGTTCAAATCCCAACAACACCATAGCCATCTACAGCTAGTAGTCCAATAGTGTTAAGCAGCACCTGTCCCTGAGCCTCATGGCACTGTGGGACATCCCACCCAACAGGGCAGTTTTTGTAATGACCTGGTTTTTGTAGTAATGGTTTTGAGTGGTGGGTCAGTTCTGGCAGTGGTGGTTTAAAGGTGGCTGAGATGTGGCCCTGTAATTGCAGTAAACAGGTTGAGCTCTGGCAACCGCATCTGACCCACTTCTGTGCCATCATTGCCTGTGGTATGTGGGCCACATCTAAATGCTGGATGTGCTATCTGGGATCAGTCACCCCATATGAACATGATTCAAAATTAGAAGGACAATCTGACCAAAGGACAATGTAACCACTGTTTCATCTGTTGTAATCATGTGTACTTACTTCTTACAGCGGTGCTGCAACAGTCTCTAAAGCTAAATTCCCTGGTTTAAAAGCTACGAAAACCCCCTTAAAAAGGTGGAAAGACTACAAGTGCTTTGGGGTGGACACTTGGGGACAGGCTGACATTTAATGCAAAGTGTTTAGTGCACTGTAGCTCATAGCACATGAGATTATGAATGTTATCTGTGGTTGTGGTAGTGACTGGCTGAAATTAAAGTCGCTTTATAGAGCTATAGTTCATAGAGCAATCAGAAGAGCTGCAAATGGCAGATATTAGGTTTTGTTTTGAGGGCACAGTAATTATTTGCTTGATAGTCTAAGTTATTTAAAGGTGCAGTAAGTAAAATTTAGGGGGGATGTGTTAGTAGAAAAGGAATATAGTATAGAAAAACCATGCTTTCATCACTGTAAAATCACCTGTAGCTATGAATCGTTGTGGTTTTGTTAGCTTAGAATGAGGCTTTCATATCTACATAGGGAGCAGGTCCTCTTCCAACAGAGGCTGCCATATTGTGCTGCCATGTTTCTACAATAGCCCAGAATGGACAAACCAAACACTTGTTCTAATGAGTGCCTTTTGCGTTTTTACCCTGAAGTTTGCAGCTTGTATATAGCAAAGATTGGAAGACGTAGAAAGAAGAAGAATCGGTGGTTGCTGCTGGTGCTGGCTAACCATTTTGTGTTGTGAGAAGCTTGAGAACCCAGATTTTGACAAATGGAGGATCATACTTATTATTTAGCACAGCAAGGGTGGTTCAGTCATCCTTGTCAAAGAAGCGAAAACCTGACAGCCACCATAGGTTCTACTACATAGTTGAAAAGGGAGTGATATTCACAAAATCTTATGTACAGCACCTTTAACATTATTATCTTAGCTTATCTATATAATATTGCTCCTGCGGTCCACTTGCTAATAGATGGTATGGTACATTTCCAGGTAGTAAACCATTTGGGAGCAAGGGCGATATTAGATCTGGAAATAAGTTCAAATATCAATTTGTGTTTGATGGTAGGCATCAAAAAAGAGGGACATGCAAGAGGCTGAAGCTGACAGACATGGGCTAAGAACAGCTATATTATATGCAACAAGTGAGGCAAGGGTACTTACAAACACATTGTGTCTTTTTTATTAACTGTGCTCTTTAGTCTTGTTTCACTTATATCATACAGTGATCACATGCATGGAGAGTTCCATAACTTTTTAATAAATTTGATATTTAGATAGTATAAAAAATCATAAGCATCAAGCATATTTAAATTAGTAACGTATATATAAAAGCATTAATGTGTACAATTTCTCATTATCAAACCCAGTAGAAATAACTGACCATGGTTGTGCTTCTGACTAGTGCTAATATACCTTTCTATATCACTTAGGGTTTTTTTTCTCTCTCACCACAATTGCTGCATTTTCAGGTTGTAACTCAATTACTTTGATTAGACTGTTATATATGTAATATCCAAAAGCTGTTGCGATTTCTTTCCTGTGGCTGCATGCCCAAATGTCCCTTTAAACTACAAGTGAGTTACTGACTGAACAGTGCCCTCATGCGTTCATCTACCTAAAGAACAGTTTTCACTGCAAGGCTGGCCTTCAATCTACAAACCAGTTTCCCAACACTGTTTTTCCTAACACTGTTTCATTGTTTTTGGTTTAAACTAGGTTCTTGATTCTACGCACACTCTGGATATGGTTGTTTCGAAAGGTCTTGACATTTCTGCCATTATAGTTCAGAAGTTGACGTGATCTGATCATTCATGTATCTTCTTTGAATTACTGATCTCTCCAAATGTAGATCCGTTTTTTTTTTAAATGTACGTAAATGGGAGTACCCTAATGAAAAAAAAATATGAATTCTAAATGTATTTATCAAATATATTTTTGCAATGTATGAAAACGGCCAAAGATGTATTTGTTAAATAATGAATATTTTTTAAATGCGTTTATTTGTATTTGTTATTATGGTTTTTTTTTTAATTGTATGAAGTTTTAACACATCTTACAAAGCCTATGATATGACTAAACATACATGAGCTGAATGAGAGATCTGCTAGATCTGCCACGATCAACTGTAAGTGGCATTATTGTGAAATGGCCGAAGTGGAAAATATCTTATTGGTAAGGAGGTACATGCAGGCACTGTAAGGTAAGGCAATTTAGTTAGTAAATAAAATGATATATCTACATTGTATACATTTATTGTGACCCCTGGTTCCTATTACCACCACTGTGAAGAACTCCAAGCTGGTGAGTTTCTCTATAATGCACAATTTCACACCAAACCCCTCTGAAAGACTTTGTTTATATTTTAACCATTGAACTGTGCAGAAATTTTGAAAAACTGGTAGACTTTCCTTTTAACCAGGAGATCTCGCTTTGGAGTCACTGTAGCACCGCTGTAAGAGAGGGGAGCACACACAGATGTGGCGGTGGTTAAATGTATAATTTTGGCCGGGGTGTCCCTTTAAAATTACACTATTTACAATGTTCAGCTTCCGGATCTTTAAGCGAGAAGTATCATATTATATCACATAACTTTAAGTTAAAATTAGAACTTGATTTTCTTGCCAAGACGATCGAAAAGGCTAACCAAGAGGTGCAAACAAAGGGACAATAAACACCCAGATGACCCGGCCATTGTAGTCTCTTGGAGAGGAGCTCGTCAACCTCAACACCGTCACTTCCGCCTATTCCAAAAGCTCGCAGACATCGCGGCGGCGGCGCAGAGAGGGAGAAAGTTTCCGAGATTTTCACGCTGCAGAGACTTTTCTGTTACAGAAACTCACTGGAGGGCTTTTCTAATCTGCGAATATTTGTATAGAAGACGCCAAGAAGACGGGCGACTGCTCCTCTCTCTATTTTTACTTCGGAGTCAACAACAAACAGTCAACACAGCAAAAGAGGTTAGCAGTTAGCTTGAGCTATCTGTAGCTGAGTGGTGTTAGCGGTGTCTGTTTATCCGTGTGGTGAATTGACTACAGCTGTTTGTAAATTTCGGGTGGTCTTAGTTCGTTCCTGCTGAGATAGAAATACGTGTAAACAATGTAAACAAACTGTGAAAGACGAAGCGGAGGTCAGCTTCTTGTTTGAATTTTTTTCGTTCCACATAAAATTGTGCAGTAGTTAGCTAGACGAGGCGCCAGAATGTAGCTAGATTAGCTAGCTAATTGCTGCACCATTTAAGGTGGAACGGGGAAATTCTAACAAGAAGCTGGCGAATAATAAGCTGACTAGCCTCGTAAAAGGTATTTTGAAAGGCTAAACCCCACTTCTAACTCGGAGTGGATACGTAAAGGACGCTGCTAGCTTGGTTTCGGTTTGGTAAAATCAATTGTTTTGGAAATGTGTTGAGGCATTTGTTCTATTCTAATCATAAACGGTTGGTAAGTGTAACATTAGTGAGTGTTTAGGTGTTTTAACCCGTCTAAGACTAGGGCTACATTTGCTTAACCATTTATTGTTGACTCTGCTAGCTACACCCATGGTGGTGTTTTGTAGCTAACGTTACCAAGTCAGCAAAGTTCTTCTTACGGGAGGAAATTAAGTTATGGGGCAACTCCACGAGTCAGCCTTTTGCATTCAGTACCTCATTCATATCATTTAAAGCCTTTCCAGTGCGAAAATCTCGTGTTCTGCCTAATGCGTTTTAGCAGGTCTTTCAACACACGGTGGGAAGAACTCCATTTATCAAGATTGGCTGCCTTTCTGCTCTTTGTTAGGGCAAGGTATTGAGAGATGGCGTGACAACCCTATTGTAGTTGTTTCCTTAGATCCAAATGATCTACCATGTGCTTATTCTGATCAAGGTTACAGGGAATTTGCAACGATGTTTCAAATGTAATCCATAGTTCGCTGTTAGTGGCAATGTAAACAAAGTCATTTAAAATGGTTAGAAACCTACTGACTGATTTCTTTATAATGGTGCTGTTAGGAACCAGGGGTTGCGATGTTTCCAACCCAACTATAGTCATTTATTTTGCAACATATGAAGCTACGTGTGTCTTAAGTTTTTATATGTAATGTAATGTTGATAATGATAAAACCTTCTATGTTTTTTTTTTTTAAATGCTAAGGCCAAAACATTTTCTCAAAACCATCAACAAACAATGTCTCAGGCATCGGACACCATATTTGTAACCATTTCATGCAGTCATTTTCTACGATGGAGCTTTTAAAAGCATTAAACTCTCCAGAGTCTAAACTCCAACACTGAATAATTCTGATTCAATAACAGAAGCGCATTTCATACCGAGCCACTCTGAATGACTGTTTACATCTTAACAATTTATTATGCATTATGCATAAACTTTACAAAACATTGTTAGAATTCCTCTTTAAAGACCAGTATATCAAGCTCAAGTCTCCTGTTAAAAACGATTCATATTTTCTTTCAGATCTTTCCAATAATCCATAGTCTAGCAGCCCTCCACGTTTTGTACATATTTTGCTAGTTCTCGGCTGGCAAGCATTCTGTATAGAAATAAACACAAGCTTGGCTTCGTACTGACCAACTCCAGGTTTCATTACAAAAAGAGCATAACTGGTCCTGTTTAATCGAATTTAGTGCATTGTGTGAAATACTGAGTAAAATCGTTGTTTTGATCGCAGTTTTTAAATGTACTGCTAGTGTATTGTGTCTGTGCTGTCTGGGTATCGTGAAAACGTCTTTAAATATTGTGATATATTTTTGTGATGTTTCCCATTCCTAATTTGAAATGCTAATGATTTGAACCCAACTTTTAAGTTATAGAACATCTAATGGTTGTTTTATACTTTATCCTAGAACGTGTAAGTGAAAGTGAAACCTATGAAACTTTGGCCATCTGATGGCTACGGCTGGTCAAGTTCCCACAGATGGGGTGAACCCGACAGGTAAGTCAGGTGACTGGAAAAGAACAATGATATATGTCTTGCTCTTTGTCTGCAGGAACAGTAGTAGAAGATGTACTTTCGTTAATGCTTTTGTCTGTTCTTAAAGCCCCTATCTACTGATTTTAATGATTTTCTTCCAAATATTTTTTGAAGTTTCTGTGAGCTTTTTACAATGATCTGGCAGTGAAAGAATGATGTTGATCTTCTCTGTTGAGAGGTTTTTGAAATTACCTTTGTTTTGTTGTTTTCTTCTGTTCGATTTGAGTTGAGTGAAACTAATAGTGCGTTCCGTTCTGGAGGCGCCTGCCTAACTAGTCACTCACTCTTCAAGGCATCTCTCTTGTTGGGCAGCATTTTAATCGTAAAGGAACCTTAGTAGATATCACATTCGGGACACTCTACAGAACCATCACACGTCACTGCGCTGTACACGTTTTATCTGTTTACTCGCAAATCAAATCTGCAGCAGCTGTTTTCCTTGCATTGGCATTATTGTGGTAATTTATTGTGTATGAAGAATGGGCTGCTTTAAGGAGTCATGTCTGCTGTAATATACTCGACACAAATGTCCCAAATAAATACAGATAATCGTGATTACTAGTTTGTGCATCATTTCAACTCGATCATTGTCCTCGACCTATAAATACCCTGCTTTATTTGTAACACACAAAAGATGAAAGCTACTTATAATTTGTACAGTTTTTCTGCACTCAGAAAAAAATGTTCACACACAAACTGCTAAGCTGGCTAACATGCATTGTATTTTATGCATTCTCATCTGATTTATGAGCTCCTAGTCTGAAATTTAGCCATCAACATTCATCCTGATGTGACTGTGATAAGCATAGCAATACAAGCCAAGCAGAGCAGGCAAAATTAAGCATTTATGGTATTTATTTAAAAAAAAAAAAATTTCTGAGCATTTTATTCATTTTACATTTTTATATCGTCCAGTATGTTAAAGTATTTTTCATCATTCAGAGACAGTCTGTAGCGCTGGTTCTACCATGTTTTCCCCCACATGCACTGTAAAAGTGAGCTGCTATTAGCCATTCAGCTCAGTTTTTTTCCTAGTAACAGCTGCTCTTTCTCAGCTCTTCAGCCAGCTACGCTTCTTTAATGTTATTCCCTAAGGACACCGATAGGTTACTTGCATACAAAAAGGCTTAGAAGACAAGCTGCCTTCAGAAAGGGACAGCCGTAGTCTCGGGAGCGTGCAAATGCTGCCTTAAAATGCTGCCTACTTAGACGGCTGCCTTCCGATCGGACAGCACCATAAATTTCATGTAGGAGATATCAGATATGCCAAAGTACCAATGAGAGTTAGTAATATGTAAATGTCAGCTACTCACATTCCTCGCCCTCCCATAAAGTGACTGCTCTCCCACTGCTCTGAGTCACAAAACTCCCAGAAAGTAGCTTATTAAGGCTTTTCTAAATTTGTCAGTGATGCTTGTTATAAAGATTTATTACACTATTGTTTTTAGCATAGCTAGATGCTGTTTCCTACTTGTGTTAGCCACCTGTCAGAGGATCCTATGAAGTTATAAGCGATTAATGTCATTTACAAGCATGCAATAGCTAGCAGTTCAGTTTAACTGTAAGAATAAAACGAAGCATTAGCTAAGTATTACGTTAGCTATCCCCCTAACATCAAGGCTCACTGTGATTCCCTGCAATTGTACTTTACAGGCGTGATGCCCAATAAGGCACATGAGAAATTCTCCACAGTGTCTGTAAACGTGACTGATTGTGGCTGCTTGTGTGACCTCAGTTTCAGAATCACAGTCAATCAGTTAACTAACTAGCTAGCTGCAGGTTATGGATATAATGTTGGTACTGAGCGTTCAAATCTATGTGATTGTGATCTACTTGTCATAGGATGAAAGCCTGATTTCTTGAACAACAGCTGCTTAATATTTTTAGGCCTCTAAAACTGTCAGCTTGTACTCCATTTTGCACTTTTTATTCACCAGTCAGAGCGGTGGACAAGAGTGAAATAGTTTTTCTGCGTGAGAGGCTCAGACGTTGTGCGGCTCAAATACACCGATTGGCAGTGTCGCTCCACTGGTGCCGAGTTGCTTACATTGTTTGCGTTCCGACGCGCCCTCACAGTTCTGAGCCAACAGCAGCTGTGAATTTTTGGCTGCGCCTTTATGTATTTTTATATTGTATTTATATATTTCGTGAAGATAATGCTGGTAAATGTTTATTCCCTGGCATATCTTATAAACATTTTAAACCATATTGACAGGGGCTTTAAAACTATCACGTCTCTTCATTTTGGTCGAATGAACAGATGGGAGGTACTGAGTTGTCTTTCACTTTTTGTTGCAGTTCATTGCATTTCTGTGGTATTCGTCTTTACTTCTACTAATCTAATTATAACTAGTTTGATGGTTGTCCTCCAGATGTGTTTATTCTGTTTTGGAGGAGGAGGTTGTTTCCTCGGAGAGGTACATGCATGCGTGTGTTTGTGATGTGAGTAAAGTTCATGGATGGCTAATGCTTTAGTGTGATATGGGGTCTTCGGTAACAGTGCTTCTGTTGCTTTTTATGTTGTAAGTAGTGTGTGCAGATGTGTTGTGGTTCAGCAAGATCTGATCAGAGTCAAAAATGTGGAGAAGGGGGTTCAGGACTATGAGCCAGGTGTTTGTGCATGCTCTGTGATTGTGCATTTGCAGTTGCTGTCACACTTCTAGCCAAAGTGAGCATATGATCTGCATGTTGCTACAAATAACAATATCTTCTGTGTGTCTGTGTGTTGTGGTTGGATTTTTTTTTTGTCGTCACGCTACACAGAAGGTTGGCTGTTCCTCCTAGTCAATCCAGCATCTGTGGATTACGCTTAAATGCTGCAAGAAGGCTGAGTAATGAGAATAAGAAGCAGGATGCTAAAGAAACGATTACATGAAAAATCTGCTTTACACAATTTTGCCTGTAACTCAGACATACTCTGTCAATCAGGAGATATTTTTGTACAACGTTTGCATCTCTTTAGTTGTTCAGCGGAGCTACAAAACTAATGTTAAGCATACACTGAAATTTCAGCCTAAATTTTCAGCCGAAACTGCTAAACACTTTCGGTTTTCGGCTGAAAATTTTCTGAAAATAACAAAGATAAATTGGACCTATTTTAAAATGAAAGACTTTACCATTAATGTTAAAGGTGATGAAAATGAGAAATAGTGATTTAAAATGCTGTTTATTCCTTTTATTATTCTTTCTCTTTTCTCCTGTGGTCACTGCAGACTAGGGCTGAGCGAGATGTGGAAAATATCTAATTATGTTTTTGTTTTTTTGTTTGGTTTTGTTTTGTTTTTTTTTGTTGTTGTTGTTTTTTTTTTGTTTTGTTTTTTTTTGACCAGGTTTGCGATTTAAATGTAATTTGTTTTCTTTAAAATTAGCTCTGGGACCTTCTTACCAGCATATCACGTTTTTTAAGCTTAAGACTTAAATGTTGACTTTTGTGTGCCAGAATGGTAGTTCACAAGCTCTGCATCATTAGGTTAAATTTCTCCATTTAAAATTTGAGACGTATGTGAATTATATAGTTTGTAATCACATTTACAGTTCTTAAGATCTGAAAAATGCGCTCTTTCAAGTTGCAATTTTGATATTAAAATGATTAAACGTTCAGCGGTACTGCAGACGCGTTCAAACAGTTTGAGCGGCAGCAACAATTTCCTATGTCCTGGGACAGTACACAAGCAATTTGTAATCTGTGTTCTTGCCAAGTAACGAGAGGGTACAACAAGTTCTCCAATACAGGTTTGATACCTATTGAAAACACTACATCCTGCTCGATATGCAGAATACAGCAAAACACCAGAAGTTCCTCCTAGCATGCTAACACAGTTCCTGCTTCAGTTCCAAGTGTAACTTAAACAAAATGGAATTCATTACTTTGGATGTGCAGCCATTCTGTTATGGAGGATGTTGGATTTTGGCTCATACAGTAGCCTAAATACTGTAATAATTGTACTTGTACTTATTTTATGTAAACTATTTGCTCATTGGCCAGCTTTTTTTGTAGTTTCAGCCCAGTGTGTCCTGATGTTTATTTATTTATTTTTTTATGTGTGAACTGTTCCCTTAAGAAAGCAATAACATTGCATTTCTACAGATTGTTGCTGTTCATAAAAGAGTCAACAGCTAAGAGTCCGTAAAGTACAGATAACCTCAGTAAATCTAATGCTGCTCGACTCAGTTTGGATTCTAGAGTACTGAGTGGGGAGTCTGTGGACCAGGAATTTTAGTTCTAAGGCTAAGTAAGGAGAATAAGAAGCAGGATATTAAAGAAACAATTCCACAGAAATCTTCTTTACATGTTTCACATTAACTCTGTCAACCAAGAGATGTTTGGTGTCCGAAGTTTGGATCACTTAGTTTTTGAGTTAAGCTATGAGGCTAATATGAAGCATGCACTGAAATTTTAGTCTAATTTTTCAGCCGACTCTTTTCATTAAAAGTTTTGTTTGAGCACTATTTTTGCCTTAGAATGCCCTGTGTGCACCTCTCCTCGCTTTTAAAAGATACATTTTAGGCCAAACTTATCCAAAAACCATCCTAAAACTATGTCCCGATCATTATGCAGCATATTTCAAACCATTTCATAGATGTCTGTGATATAGCTTTAGAGGCATGTAATACTTCGGACGTCCACCTCTGTGAACAATTTTTAGTTTCTCTAGAAAAGAGCTCTTCACATCAGGCTACTCCGAATGACATCTTTTATTTTTTTGCCGTTTAACTAAGCAGACATTTTGAAACTCTATCAAAATAGTAGACTATCATCTCAATCTACGCAAACACTTTGCTACCCCACAGGAAGAAACACAACACGAACATTACACACACAGTGCAAGTGTGATATTTTAGGCTGGATTGCTTACAGAACTGGTTCAGATCCCTTTTTCCCCTCTGATATCCGGTTGAACATTTTCTGTTGATATCAGCTTGATATAGATACAGGTCAATGTTGATATACAGTTTCTAGTACGTTACAAACAATGTTTACTTATGGACAGGAGTAGAGTTAAGATGGAATTTAGGCCTATCACGATCATGAAATTTTAATTGATTAATTATCATATGAATAAATGCAAATAATGATTTAATGATCTTTTCTTGTTTTTTTGATAGTTTTAAATGAACAGTTGGCTAAATTGCATACTAGTCACTTCTCTTGCTAGATATGTTTACTTAGTTATGTTTCCTTAGTTGCTAACACTGGTTGTACTGTGAAATCAATACTGCACACACACAAACATCTAAAGTTACACAGAATTATGTGTAGAGTTAAGCAGAGCTATATGTTCTGCATGAGAGTGAAAATATAAGCAAAAACACACTCAGTATGCTAGCATACATACTAAAAATGTTAGCTTCATAGCTAACTAATAAACAAACATTACTCTGCGCTGCCCCTGAACATGTTAGAACACTAAGTTAGAAGTTTTTGTCCCATGATGATTGTTTTTTCTTTTTTGAAAACATTTTTAACACCCAATTTAGTTGCAGCACAATATGATTGTAAAATCTAATGACTGAGGAAAGTGATTGCAGTCAGCTTACGCAATTGTGATCATTTCAAATAATTGCGAATAGGCGATTATGTAATAATTGTGACCGGCCTAATGTAAGTGTGCAATTCAGTCTCTTATTCAAGCCTCTGTGGTGACTTTGTTTGCAAACATTTGCAGTATGGCTAGTATTGACTAAGCTATCACGATTGGCCAAGTTCCTGATGTTAGTGAAAGCTGATGAGAGGTCGTCTGTTATTTGTCCAAATTATAAGTCCAAATTTTTCGAGTGAAGATTAAAGACCAGCATACTAAGCTTTTTTTCAGAATTCTGCATATAGATTCATTTTAGTGAACATGGTTATTTTGAAATGGCTTTAGTCATAAAGGCCTTTCTAGCTCATAAGTCTTTCATGCCCATAGTCATCTGATTCAGGTTTCTGTTGGGTTTCTGCATCCTGGAGACTGTGTTTGCTGGGAAAACAAGATAATATCAAATAAACAGAAAGGTGGAATGTAAAAAAAAGTTTGTGGTTTTTACAAGTTGCAGTTCACAAACATGAAGGGCCAGTGACCACAGACATGGATAAGCGTGTCATTCTTGGTGAAAGGTTCTGTGTAGTACTGAAAAAATGTTTCTTTGACTTGTAACAGTAACCCTCTTTGCTGCGACACAGAACAATTCCAGAAGGATTCTTTAAACAACCAACAGTTTTTTCCACCATCGAGAAGAACCATCCATCCATCATCTAAACCGCATCGAGAAGAACCTGTTGACTATTAAGAATGCATGCATTCAAATGAGAATTCACGGGTCTGTATAGAACCATTGTCTTTACTAAAGAACCCTTGAAGACCCATTTTTAAGACTATAGTCTTGGATTAAATTGCTGTGCCAGTGGTGAATTACCTTTGAAAGTCCTTTTTAGTCTAGGTTTAGGTTTCATCTGGTCTGGGGAAACTGGCCCGAAATGTTTGGCTGAAATATATTTCCATATAAGACTACAACTCCCTTACCCCATGGTTGTTTTTCCTTGTTTTTGTTTTAATTACGTCAAATTAGAAGTGGGCAGTATGATGATATTTTATCATTTTCATGATAAATTGTCAAAGTACACTTTTCTGGGCATGTCATGGATATCGTCAGCACCTAAAGAACACTAACTAACTACATGTTTCCTTACAAAGTGAGCAAAATGGTATTATTTCAATGAGGATTTCTATTTCCTCGAGCCTCAACGCACTTCTGTGTCCCATTTGCAGGCTTATTTGCATGTCAGCACTATGATAATTACTACAAGTGAAAAGGGAAAAAAAATATATCACCAAGCTAGTTCCTTTTAAAAGGAAGTCATCATCATCGGAGTTATATGTTTTCTTTGGCTATTATAGTTCTCATGTAAAACTGGTTCTTTGCATGAAATAAAGAGCAGTGCAACTCTTTAGTAGCAGAACAGAGATGCAGGAGATCATTGTTCATCAATAACAATATTAAGTGTACTGTTTTAGGATTTACATGCTGTTTTTATTACCATAAGACAGTTTATTGTAATGAGAAATAGGCGTATAGGTACTGTATAGGTACAGGCAAATACAAATTAGGTAAGGGGATATAATCAGACTGCTAAATTGATTTTTACTTGTAGCAATCAAAATATTCCTGTACCAGCTATGACAGCGTGCAGAGAAGGAAGTCTTGCTTTGTAAGTTGTAGAAAATATCCCTGCTGCTAAATAGAAGCTAAACTTTGTTCCTCTGTGTTTATCAAAATGACGCACTTGTGTAAATGGCTGCAATAGCACTTTATAACCTTAGGCAGTGATATCATCACTGTGCAAAACGTAGCTGCATTTTGTTATTGGATTTTTATGTTTCTACATCATTTACATTTTGTGAATGTTTCATGCTAAATGGAGCAATTGAAATGCTCCAAAATTACTTGAAATAAAATCTTTGTACATTGTTAACTTTTAATGTAAATTAATGTTTTTGCCCACACCTGAACTATTACTATTTTGTAGATTTTGGGTACAGTGGTAGTATTCTAAGTTCCCTGGGCCTGCCATAATACATAAAGGCCATGTGAAAAGTTGCTGGAATCAGGATTAGGATTGTTTAGAGCTAGAGATATTTGCATATCATTGCCTGAGTAACTGTTCTTTTCTCTTTGCATTGGTACAGGAACGACTGGAACTGGTAGGATGGCGTCTTTAGAAGTAAGAATAATTTTGGATTTTTGCCTTACTACACTTTCACTTACTCATATTCCTTGTCCCTTAGGTGTGTCAAACTGTCAAGTTATATTTTCTCATCCTTCAAAAGTAGCTTTTGGTTTCCTAGGTTCTATATTACATAACACCTAAATATTGTATTGCATGGACTCATTATTATACCTTTGCATCTCTCAGGGCCTGGGCTCCCCAAGTTCATCACAGACCAATAAGAAAACTATTGGTCATCGTGGGATTGATCCTACAGGGGAGACTACATACAAAAAGGTAAGAAAGTTTAGCTTGTTGTTCTGGTGTTAATTAATCCAAACACCCAAATAACATATGTGATCGATCCCTGAAGGAAAGCAATAAAATATACTGAACTTGAGAACATTTGTGGCACCTTGTGTTACAAAACAGTTATTTCTGAATTCTGTTTGAAGCTGTTAGTAGCAAGTAAAGGAGATATCCTCTGTGTTTCCTGACCTGTACTACACTTAGTTTAAAACAAGCTTGTTTTTGTTGCTCGCATTGTGCTAAACTGTCTGTAATTGGTTACTTTGCGTGCCAGTCTGATGGCCTTTTCCTGTCATAGTTTTGTTTTAATTCAATTTGCGATCCTGGGTTGATATTTTCATATGTGGCCGATATGGCAAAATGTAATATTCTTCAGGACGTTTTTTATGATACACAGTGGGTCACGATTTTTTTTTTTTCTGACGTGATCGAACAAAGGAGTTATATTGTAAAAATGCTATCAAAAACCATGAAGTCAGTTACTTGTATTCGACATATACACACTGTGCTGCACTAAATCCAATTAAACAGGACTAATTATACACTTTTTCCATGATATACTCAGAAAAGCACATTGTGACATACTGTGATGTAATTTATCATGATAGTTATACAGTATCTTCCACAAATATTGGCACCACTGGTAAACATGAGCAAAACAAGCTATAAAAAAAAAAACATGATTTTTCTTTCATTCAAAATATTAGCAAAAATCTCATCTTTATTTGAAGTATAGTGATTGAAGGAAAAAAACCTAAATCATAGCAGGAAAGGGGTATTTGTCTCAAATCTGTGTGTGCCACAGTTGTTGGCACCTCTTTATTTAATAATTTGTGCAGCCTCCTTTTGCAAAGAACTCTGGGTGTTTTCACGCGTATGCCATTTCAGTGTCTGAAGTGTACTGAGAACGCTGAGTCATAGTTTCTTTTGCATATGTCCAGTTCGTTTGTAGTTCGTTTTGTGGTTTGATTGATTTGTGCATTGTGAAAATTAAACTGCCCCAGCCCACTTTTGCTTTATGGTGAAGACCTCGAGGCTTACTGTACGCAAACAGCCGCAGTCTTCCAACTCTTCAACAGGTAAAAACAGACCACCAAGGATCATTTATAAGGTTCTACTCAGATTAAAGCCTGTCCGTTATCTGTGACAAAACAGCAGCCCTGACATATTAAAGCGATAAGATGCGAGAGCCAGCGTGATTTTACCATGTTAAAGGCTCATACTGGGCACGCAACACAATTTTAAGCTGCTTTCACACTGAAGGCTGAGTGAATGAAAAATCCGTATTAGCGTTAAATTTCATCAGGCAGAGCTCAGTGAGGAACACAACCGAAAACGGAACTCACCGCAGCAGACATGCAAGCTTATTTGTCCAATTTTGCGCAATGCGCTTTGGCCAGTCATCTCAGCGTGGCCAATAGGGGAGCAGCAGGGGTGTCTGGTGGTTCCTCTTGCCACCTGAAAGGTTAGATTTATCAGAGAACGCTGCCCACTTTGCGAGCGCTGCACACACCGTGAGTGCTGTGAAATAGAGTTGTGGTCTGAACAAGAAGTGGATCTAAGTGGACTGAGATTTAAAAGGACCAGAAAGAAAACAGTCCTCTTTATAGTTCGCTCACATTGTGAACACAAAAAGAACAAGGTCATTTGAAGTTGGTTCCCTTTCAGGTTCACTTTAACAGAACTCAGTTTGGTTCTTTTAAAACAAACTATATGTGAAAGCACTGAGTCTTCTCCTAGTCTTCTGATGAGACTGGAGAACAGATGTCAAAGGATTTGAGGTCATTCCTCCATACAGAGTATCTCCAGATCCTTCAAATTCTGACTGTCCTCTCCAGCACATCCTGCAGGTTTTTCCTCATCTGACCATAGAAAACAGTCCCAGCAAACAGACTGGGGTTATATACGTGGTGTTTGGTTTGATTGTGGTTTGGGAGATGTTCTGAACCTAAGATCTACTTAATGTCTGCAGTTCTCCATCTGTGATCCTTATATATTCTTTGTCCACTCATATTGTCCACAGTGCGTCGGGTCAGTATAGGCATCCGTCCTCTTCCCGGCAGATTCTTAACATCTTTAGTTGTTTTAAACTTCTTAATTATTGACCTCATAGTGGAAATGGACGGTTTACCTGTTGTCGTGTGGCCATTTCTTGATTTGTGTAGCTCAACAACCTTTTTCATCACTGCTGTATTCTCTGGTCTTTCTCATAATGATGGATAACTAAGGGAATTTGCTCTGTTTCTCATCTTTTATTTATATAGACATATTCCTCAGTGAAACAAGAAGTCATGACTGACCATTTAAGTGTTCCTAATCGCTCAGGGGAACTTTAAAACATAAAATATGAATAGGAATATACTTAATTTAGCTCTTCCTCTTCAGATTTTCAAGGGTTTCCAACAATTGTGGCATACATAGATTCTTTCAATCGTTACGCATTAAATAAAAGTTAGATTTTTGCTAATATTTTGAATGAAAGATCAAAAGGTTAAGTAATTAGGAAAAAAAATACAGCTTATTTTACTCATGATTACCAGGGGTGCCAATATTTGTAGAGGGCACTGTAATTGTTTTCATGTCACCCAGCTCTATATTCTCCTAATATTTTGAACAAACCTGGGAAGAAAAATAGTAAGTAAACATGTTATTGCTCAACTTCCTAGTGACACTAGAGCTGGGTGGCAGCAGGAGTGGTAGGGTGAGTTGTTGATTGCTGCTGATGGTTTCAAACGATGTGTTGAAACAATGCAGATTTACTAGATGGCAGAATTAATAGAATATGTATTCTCCACAATGAATTGTCACGTCTCCGTGGTGCACTTTGTCACAATTTTGTGTGGAAATATCACGGTTACACCCTCACTGTTTTTGTCTTCAGTATAGCAGTATAACTTTCACATCCCAATTCTGAGGTTGCAGCGTGTGCTTCGTTATCTCAGCACTTGCTGACTTGTTATAGATAGCATGTCCTGAAGTCATCTGAAGCATAACTGAGGCTAAAGGTTGAAGGTTACCTTGTGGGAAGCTTCTGTTGCTGTAATGACTTTAAGATCGTATAAGATCATATCTTCTCCAATAGTCAAAACAGACATGAGACAGCAGTATGAAAACAAACATGCAGTTATGAAGTATTTTGAAATCTTGCGCTTCATGAGACCCACAACAGTGTTGCTTTTGTTCATGTGATACTGATCATTTCCTTCTGTTTGTATTTTGCATTGGATAAACGTGGATTTCGCAGCATGTTTGTAATAATTTCTCTGTTTTGCTTTCTCAGACCACGTCGTCCGCCCTGAAAGGTGCCATCCAGCTAGGCATCACGCATACTGTGGGCAGCTTAAGTCAGAAACCAGAGAGAGATGTGCTCATGCAGGACTTTGAAGTAGTGGAGAGCATATTCTTTCCCAGGTGACCACAGAATTAAAGGTTTAAACGCAGTATTTTTAAGCTGGTTTGTAAATAGGGTTGTTGTGTCACAGTTTCACAGTACTTTTCCAAATTATGGATTAAATTCCATTCAAAATACTGAGACCCAACATGAAAGTATTAAAATGACACAAACTTAACACTTTCTTTTTTTGGATAGAATGATGCCTGGTTTAATCAATATGTATGTATATTTTAATAGAAAAATGAGCTCCACAAACCTTTTGCTAAACCATTTGGAGCTCCAATTTATGTGCTAAATTATCTGAGTAGTTTTTGTCTGCATAATGCTAATAACACTCAAGTATTTATGAACAGATATTTTGAGGCGGTTTTGTGAGAATGACCCATTTCCATGTTTGAAACATTCGAAACTTAATTTAGCTGTGTGTTTTGTTTTCCTTTCTTGCGGCTACTGTCTGTGACCACCTTAACCAACACAGTAGCCTATGCGTATCTAAAAAAAACATGAAATAAATTAGGCTGCTATTTATAGTAAAAATTTGAAAAATGGAAATAAAACTTTCTTTTTATTGACACAAAAAAAGATCTCGTCTCACACAAAATAAAGAAAATGTTCTGTTCAGAGGGTAAAAGTTGTTTTCAACACATAATGTCGAGGATGCCCGTGTAATATATCAAATTAAAAGCATGTGCAAGTTCATAATTTTTCCTTCAATTTTAGCAACTTTCATTTCTGTTTTAAAGTTTAAAAAAACGTCAATCTGTAATATTTTTCATTAGACTTCATACTGTAAAAATGGCAAACCAGAACAACACTAAGTGTTAAGGATCAGCATGTTACTCAGCCACTGTAATTTCCTTGTGTCTGCTTTCCCTGTGTCCTGTGGTTTTCTGCTTTCCCCTTTATTTTGTGGTTTTCTCTGTAACAGCCTTTCTTCTCTCTCTCTCTCTCTCTCTCTCTCTCTCTCTCTCTCTCTCTCTCTCTCTCTCTCTCTCTCTCTCTCTCTCTCTCTCTCTCTTTTTTCTCACTGTAAGCGAGGGCAGTAATTTGACCCCAGGCCACCACCATGGCGACTTCAGGTTTAAAACCTATGCTCCAATCGCCTTCCGCTACTTCAGAGAGATGTTTGGGATTCGACCTGATGACTACCTGGTAATATTCTTCCCTTTACTGTGCCTAATTGATCACAACAACACAACCTGATTTTTTTTTTTTTTGGGCTGCAAATGCGGTTAGTTGATGTCACTAGAGACGGCATTATACCGTATATCAATATTACAACTTTAATCAAAACCAATACTGATCTAATATTTCTTCTTTAAGAACCACTACGCTTTAAAATGAGCTATTTGTAATTGAAGCACCTCAATCTGAAAGTAAGCCATCATGCTCAAACTATTTAAACTACTTCACTCTGTTTTCCCTGTTGATACCCAGTCTAGTGTTTTCTACTGATATCAGTCCAATACTGATATTCATCAATACTGATATGCCATCTCTAGATCTGACCACACAGTGCAATAACAGTTTATTTAAAAAGAGAAAAATTGAGATCATTTGAAGCATCACAGGCTTTTACATTAGTTGATTATTAAAAAAAATGCACTTGACTTACATGATTAAAGTTTTTTTTGGCATAGGCCTAGATTGTATGTTTATCAGAGCTGGCTTTTGAAGTCTGCATAAAACTGCTTTGATGACATCACTGTCACTGTAGATTCACTGATCTGTGAATGTGCTTGTGTATTCTACAGTATTCTCTTTGTAATGAGCCGCTGATAGAGTTGTCGAACTCTGGGGCGAGTGGCTCTCTGTTCTATGTCTCCAGTGATGACGAGTTCATCATTAAAACGGTCCAGCACAAGGAGGCAGAGTTCCTGCAGAAGCTGTTGCCTGGGTACTTCATGGTGAGGGAGCCATCATCAGACTTGAGCTGTTTTATTAACTGTCAAATTATTGTTAATTTATTTAAAAAAGCTTTCTGTGACCATGTCTTAATTTGTAAGAAAATGAATTAGGTTTTTTGAGAGCGAGAGAGAGGCAGAGGTGTATTTCCTCACGTACTTCCCCTTTTTCTCTCTTGTAATGATCTTTCTTAATGCTGATGTTGACTCTTCTCCCAGAACCTGAACCAGAACAAGCGGACGCTGCTTCCAAAGTTTTATGGGCTCTACTGCGTTCAGTCTGGAGGAAAGAACATACGCATTGTGGTTATGAACAACTTGCTCCCCCGCGCCGTCCCCATGCATTTAAAATATGACCTGAAGGGCTCTACGTATAAGCGTCGGGCCTCGCCTAAGGAGCGCACCAAAAGCCTGCCCACCTGCAAAGACCTGGACTTCATACAGGACCTCCCCGATGGTCTGCAGCTGGAGAATGACCACTACAACGCACTCTGCAAAACCATCCAGCGAGACTGTCTGGTGAGAGGAAAAGTTTGCATGTCTACAAGTGAAGGAAGTGATGGGTGTGTTTGTGTGTCATGGAGCAAGATAAAACCTGCTAAACTTGATAAATTGCTAGGCTTTGGTCCAATAGTGCAGATAGTCTGCCCATAAGCAGGTGAAAGGTGAAACGTTATAAATTAACATTTGTTACCAAACATTTTAAATTAGAATACGGGAATAAAAGTGTCCTGTATTTGAATATGAATTTTAACTATATAATATATAAACTTTTAAGCACACCTTAATCAGTGTTTATTAGCAATTCTTCCGTCAACACAAACCACAGCTTCTACTACTCAGTCTAGTTGTCATCATCATAATTATAATGTTATTAGTATAAGTAATAGTAGTTGTTGTCATAGTGTAAGTATAAATACATAGTGTTTTTTAAAATATTTTAGTGTGCATTTAAATCAAGTAAATTCATATTTAACATTAGAATTATCTGGGACTGGAATTTTGTGGGACAAAATGTTGGCTTAATTGACTCTGTTTTTGCTTTTAACAGCATAAGCATCAGCCTAAACTCACTTGATTTATCTTATGTTGGGTAACTAGCCACATCGTCTCAAATGGAAATATATAGCTGCGGGAAAAAAATTAATTATTTGTAGGCCAAATTTAAGAATAAACTGTAAATATGAGATGGGGGGTTATGTAGCTTCTCACTGGCTGCTTTGAGATGATGGCTGATGTGTAAACTCTTTCTGTGCTACAGTTGCTGCAGAGTTTCAAGATCATGGACTACAGTTTACTCGTGGGGGTTCACAATGTAGAACGGGCTGGAGAAGAGGCGTCCACAGCAGTGTCTGACCATAGAAGGGCTCAGGGCCAGAAGGCCCTGTACTGTACAGCCATGGAGGCAATCCAGGGGGAGGCCAAGGGGAAAACTCCACCACAGTCCAATGAGAGGTTAGGCTACTGATGCACAGTGTGCAGAGCTTTTGTTTTTATCCAAAGGCTGATTTGTGGTTGACAAAATTCTGACCTTAGACAAAAGTGATGGAAGTACTACAAATGCTGACCTGACTAACAAGTAATACTAATAATACACTTCTGTCCTTACACACACAAAGTTGGCACAGTTATTCAAAATATAGAATTCATGTCAGCAACAATGCTTCTTCTATCATGTTTTGGCATGTGACATTGTTCTGTTCTGTGCAGCTGAGGCTGTTCACCGGTCTGTAACAAACGCAGGAAGCCAACTGCATTTTTAGTGGAATGCTACAGTCAATAATTTAAATTTACACATGATTCTGTTCTTTGTGCACGTTTCACTGCAGCTTGGGGGGAATCCCAGCACGCAACTCAAAAGGGGAGAGGCTACTGATCTTTATTGGCATTATTGACATCCTGCAGTCCTACAGGTACTAGAGTTTGGTGAATAATGTATTTTTGATGCTGTTATGTGATTTAATTCATAACCAAATACTTTATTTACATTATTTAAGACTTATTTAAGAAAACTGTTAATATGTTTAGGTTGGTGAAGAAATTGGAGCACTCGTGGAAAGCCTTAGTACATGATGGGGTAAGTCTGTGGTGTTTATAGAAGAATGCTTACAATGCAATTCCCAAAAGCATCTTAGTATTAAGTTTACCTTAACTGGTAGAGAGCACATTTGTTGTGAAGTTTGCTCTACCATTTATAAATCGCCTTTGTGCTTAGTGATGAAAAGAATCAGAATAACCTTTACAAAATTAAAAGGTTTAAGGATTATAGGAAAAATACACAGTTGTCTATAAAGCCATCTTAGCATGTTAGCAATTTTGGCAGCACTTTATTTGGATGGTCCTCTGTAGATGCTTTGTAGGTGCTCAGTCTATCTTTAACAAACGCTCAACTTAATATCTATTAAATGCAAGGGAAGCTGAATTTGCATGTGAAAGATTCTAATAAATTTGTCCCTAAGCCTAAACCTTAACCTCAAGGCGCAACCTACACTTACTAAATACACAATTTAGTTTAAAAAGTCTTATGAAGCTTTTAAATAGATTTAAAAATGCAAGGTCACAAAATGTCTAAAATTGTCTTATTTTTGCTATTGGAGGTATTACATTCTATAATGATGCTTAAAGATAAGATTGAAAAGAGTCACTGTGTATGTTAAATTCAGAGTAGTTTGCTAATCTGAAATACACACAACAGTGGTCTGTGGTCAGAAACAAACCACCAGTGAAAGGTCGGGGATGTCGTAACTGATTGTAGCCAAACACACTAAACAGAGAGTTCAAAGCATGTATTCATGTTTGAATTTCAACCAGTCCTTATGTAAAAAAGACATCATGACGCTTTTGAATTTGTGTGGTGCGCGTTGGAAATATTATTGTCCTTTTGTCGAGGCCTTCAAGTTTTAAAATGCAAAGATTTGAAAAACTGAAACACCAAAATGATACATGCCCACAGTTAGTGAAGTTTGTGAGAATCACTTACATTTTTTATTAATGTACTTCTGTAATCACTCACCCTGGAACTTAATTTTTATTTGTGGTTGTGTCTTTCACTGCATCTTTATTTTGCAACATTACAGAAACATTTGTGCATTATTCTCAAAAATAACCCTCTGCTTCAGGACACAGTGTCGGTACACAGGCCTGGCTTCTATGCAGACCGCTTCCAGAAGTTCATGTGCAACACTGTGTTCAGGAAAATGTCATGTAAGTCTAATTCATTGTGTCAACAAATACACTATATATTTTTTTAACCGATATACAAAAGTTGCAGTTTCACTAAAGCTGGTTAAACCCCTGTTTCTTTCACCCCTCACTAGTAAAAACATCCCCTTCTAAGAAGACTCGAGCAGGTGTGGTGTCTGCTGTGCGGAAGGCCAACACTGCCGTATCTGGACAAAGTCATCAGCCTCAGCCATCGGCTACACCATCATCAGCTAACGTGACGCAGACAAATGCAGAACAAACCCATCCAGACCAGGACACGACCCAGCTATCCAACAGCAGTGCTATCTCCCTCACTTCAGAGAAACCAGGAGATGGAGGTAGGAAGCTGTGGGGGGAAATTTATTGTGTAGTGAGACAGTGAAGTGATTTACAATTTTAGAAGGCTGAAGTAGTAATAAATGGCAGAACAGGCAACACAGAAAGGTCGAAAGATTGGGGTCTTTAAGGAATAGTCTTCCTTACATTCTTATAATGCTAAAAACAGAGCTACATTAGCATCTTGGGGTGAATCCTAGCCATAAAAGAAAGTCCACCAATTTTGCTGAATTTCGCTGAACTGTTGAGTCATTCAGGGTAATTTGATGGGAAATGCTGCATCATACCACAGTTACTTCTGGCCTTGCAGTGTGGCTGAGAGACGTTCTGTGATTCTCTATCAAGAGAAAATGGCATCTCTGTATCACACCACCTTATTCAGCTGTAAGCTAGCAACGACAACCAGCCATTTAAAAAAAACGACAGCCGGACCGAGGTGATAAGTGTCTTATAAGTAACAATCCTGCCAAAAAGAACTATAATGAATAATTTTTTTTCCTAAAAGCAATGGATCCATCGACACCATACGTGAGCGTCTGAGTGCCCTGTTTATATTTATTAACATTTTGTTGATATTCTCCCTCAACAAATGCTGTGTTGAACCCACCACCTTCTGTCAAAACTAATCCTTGAAGTGAAGAAAAGAGAGCCTCTACAGATGTTTACAGCTGAGACAGTTTACTGGACAGTTGCTAGTCTGGATACTTAATTTACTATCAGCTACTGATACAAAATTTAAATGTCTTAAAGAAATGTAATGTGTAGCTAGTTCAAGTTCCATGTAGACATCTGGAAGTCTTTGTGACACGATGTTACGCTAGATTTAGCAGCGTTTAAATGCAGCAGTGCTTGCATAAAGATCAAAGCTAATTTTCTTAAGACCTTAAAAATAAACTTATTAATCCTTTTTTGTATCATGGTTGTCAGAAAAAACTGTTAATAAAAATGTATTGAAGGCCTTGTGCCTATGACCCCAGCACACCAGTGCCACTACCTCAGGGTGCTGCACCCCTTCTTGTGTATTATTGTATAATTGTAGAGGAACTTGGTGACTGATTTTGTTTCATCAGTGATTCAAATGGCAGAAATGTAGACAAATTGGTGGAATTTCCCTTTAAAAAGCTGTTGTAAGTTAATGAGGAAATCCATTGAAAAGGGAAGTTGTTTGGTCAGCTGTAAGTTTGAATTGTGATGTTTATCAGCACTGTTGTTCTCATGTTGCTGGTTTATTATTGATTAGTTTTTCTGAGTTTCTGTGCACTGCTGAACTGATCTTTTTCTTTTTATGCTTGCAGATATGCAGCCCCGCCCTGACCTGCTCCCAAGACTTCTTACTCAAGATGATGTCACAAGCAACTCAGCTGACACAACACACTCAACATTTTCTCTAGGAAGCCTTGAACCTGCACCCAGCACTCCAGTCTTGAGGTGTGTGCGTGTGTTGAGTGCATGCATGTGGGTGCCTGTTTCTCATTGCTGGAGGAAATATGTCACTTTCTGCTATATTTCTTTCTGCCTTTCAGAGAGGAAGAGCAGAAGCCCTGCAGTGCAGATCAGAGCCAGAGTGTTCAAGAAAAGTGAGAGGCACATGCAGAAAGAGATCTGCTCTACAGATTAATGCTCAACACATGCACTCACTCACAGTGACATCTTTTTTGTACATCTTTTGTTTGCAGCACTGTATCTGCCCAGTCGTTAGAGGAGAGTCTGAATGTTGAGGTCATCTCTCTCAGCGATGTAATCCCTCAGACTGGCAGCTGTTACGTAAGTAGCGTCCTTTAAAAAAGTCAGCTTCGTGACCATTAAATACTCTGTGTGCACATAACTTGGGCAGAATTAAAACAACAGTGTGAGCAGGAATTGAGAAATGCGTTTTGACAGTGTAAGATATGTGCCTAGCACAGCTGGTGACTTAAGATATGCAGGACAAATATTATTGTTGATTTTGTGACTTTGAGAATGAGTAATTTTTCTGAAATATCGTTGAGTATTCAAAGCCTGTAAGGGTGCATTTATACCTGTAGTTTGGTTCCCTTGGTCCAGATTAATTTCATTCAACGTCATTATAACGTGCAAGAGTGGTAGCTTGCTATTGGCATGGATGTATAAACGTTCATATTTCGACTCCTTAACAACATTGTATGCATTTGTTGACATTCAGTGGAAGAATGTTGGGTTTGAAACCTTTTTGGTACCAAGGAGCACAATTTTCGTTTTTGACCTTGAGAAATCCAGCTTACTAGTTACTAATATAGGCATAATGGACTACAGAATGACGCACAACAAGGTCTTTTTGACATTGATCCAAAATATGTACACAAAAGATTGAGCAATTTATGACACAGTTTGGATCTAATGATTGTGTTGGAACATTAAAGTCCATCTAACTTAGCCATTTTGTGCTTTGGTCTAACTGGGCTTATGTATTTTATGTGAGTCTTGTTTATTGTATATCTTGTAGTATTCTAAAGCAATAAGCAATGAGAGGCTGGTGTATGTCGTGAAGCAAGGTGAAATCGCCTCAGCGCACTGAGCAGGAATATAAAATTTTGGAAATAATACATAACATAATCAGTGTGTGCAGTCAAATGCATGTGTGTTAAGTATTCTATAATAGCTTTGAACAAGTCTCAGCCTCATTTTATAAGTTTGTGTTAGATTTTCTACTTTAGAGATCATAAAGAGAGAAAACATGTTTAAAACAGCTTCATAAAGTCATCTGTTGAACCTACCATAGAAGGTATGTAGAGAGAAAACAACAGTTCATTCTATGTTTGCTCTGTTTAGACCTCTTTGGTCCATTTTGCTTTCCTATTTCAAGAGAATCGCACTAGAGTTTATTCAGAAGCGATCTTTGACAGACCGCCTCGGTGGCTCTCAGGCCACTTATTTATTGTGCACCAGGGTTCACATGGCAGTGTTTTGTCTTGTTGTAACCAGCCACACAAACAGAGCAATTGCACCAGGTTTCGTTTTAATAGAACCATACCTGCCAAGTCTGAACACACCCTAAAATGCTATTCAGACCAGTCTGACTGAATATGAATCTTAATGGTGCAGTTCACAGATGTCATTGAACTTTTTGGTACATAACATTGTTCTGGGATTCAATGCTAATATTTAGAATTTCTGTATGTACTTTTTTTGTTATAGTGATACAATGGTTGAAGGAGGAGAGACAGACTAAAGCCTGTGGGTGGACATCGAGAGAAGCTGATCAGGAAGGAAGAGAAAAAAGTCAAAGTAAGGTGGAAGCAGAAAGCATGCTACTCTGCTGCAGTGTTAGAAAAGGGAAGCAAAAAGAAGAGACTCCAAAAGGGCAAACCACAGAAAAGACTGTAAATACAAAGACCTTTTATGGATGATTACCACATCCAGGGTCGCTGCTAAAGAGACATTGTCAGTAGGAAGATGCCAGTGTTGCACATCGGGAGTTCCAAACCACTGTTCTTACAGCATTCAAACATGACAACAGTGCCTTAATCATACAGTGTGCCTGCAGTGACAGCTCACAGGAACAAGAATATTTTACAGTAGAAGGATCTTCTTTTACAAGGATCTTTAGTAAACCAAAATGTTTTTTGTTTTTTTAAACCAGAGACTGTTTACCAATGAGACAGACAAAATCAGTGCTGAGAAACATAGACACTTGCATGACCAAGGAGGTGCATACTTAACGCACAGGTCGAATCAAAAGGTGTCTGTTGTTGGGGTGAGGGGGAAGTAGTTGAACAACTGTAGTTGATGTTGCTATTAAAAGTTGAAATAACCTTAGCCTCAGCTTTGTAAACAGTTGTTGCAGATAAGTTTCATGCATCATTGATAATATTGTGAATATGCATCAGGGCTGTCTGATGATGGGGGTTTCAGAGATTAAAGAACCTGCATGTTGATTTATTCATGTAATATTAAAGTATGTTTTAAAGTGCCAAGGCAGAGTTGAATAAACTGGCAGGGCAGGATAGTTTTAATACTACAACAAACAAGGCTTTTGAAAAACTCTGTACATTAGCCACTGCAAAATTTTAGCCAGAGATGTTTAAAAGTTGCTTCATGCAAGTCCTAGTCAAGGTTTCTTATAACTAGGTTTAGGACCAGAGGGAGTTTTATTTTATTATAATTATTATTTTTTTATCTTTCAAAAATTCAATGTCTGGGTAGTCAGTGCAGTACTTGGTATTTACGGTTTAAGTTAAAAAAATAATTAAAAAAAAAGCCAAGACTGCCTATGAGAAAAAGAAATAAAAAGCATTTTGCATTGTGGCAGTGACTACAGTTGCCAAGGTAATTAACTACAATACTCATAATGCAATGTCCTCAAACCCCAACACTGCACATGACCATAGTAAAACTAAAAGGTAAATTTCACACAGATTAGCAGTCTTAATTCAGTCAGCTTTGTTCGTACTTTCCCCCCATTTGGCTGAAATTTCTTGAGTCCCTAGTCTAGAGTTCGAGGCGAGTCGTGAGTCATTTAAGCACGTCGGAGACGAGTTATCAATTAGGTCTCGAGTTAAAGTTGCTTACTAGAGTCCCCATCTCAGTTCTATCTCATGTAAATTTCACACTAGTCCAGATTGTCTGTGTAAGAGATGAAGACAGAAGTTAATGTGTGTGCCGTTTAATAAAGCTGAAGAGTAGAGTTGAACTGATTGGTAGAATGTACTGATGTCAAATATAGTCCTATTCCAGTGCCTGCAGGCTTGCTATTAAAGAGAAAACATACAGCATGTTTACTGTACCTTTCACTATATTATTCATTTAGATAGCTTGAGAAAATTGGTGCTTTGCTGGCAGTTAACTTCAGCTTTCTGTTATTTATTATCTGGATGATTTTGCTTAAAAAAAAGATATAAAACCAAAGGGTTGCTGACGTTTGAGTAAATGGGGTGAGTGAGAGATCACATATATCTTTGCTGGTATTTCCACTATACAATATATAGCTCAGTATTGTACATTTATAGTTTCTAAACTATACTTATTACTTTATTCTAAGCTTCTCAATTAGTACAATCCAACAGATAATAGAAAAAAAGTGTGCTGGAATGTGATGATGACGATGATTTTGCGAAAAACCTTTGTGAACACTAGATGGCAGTACACTGATTTTGTTATTTTGACTTGGTGACTTTGATTAATAAGTGTTGAGCACAACTGAAGACTAACAAAATGTAAAGGGCCCATATCATGGAAAAACAAATTTTTGTAGCCTTTCTTTTGATGTAGTTTGTAGTTTTTTTTTATGTAGTTCGATATAAATACTGTTGATGTTCCAATATGTATTATTCACTCTCCACTCCATACAGTCCAAAGCATGTAAACTAAGCTGGTTTTTGTGATGTGACAAAAACCAATGCATTTGCATCTTAAGCCCTGCCCATTCACACTGAAGTTATAAGGAGTGTTTCAGCCTGGACTAACTCATTTATCTGTCTTAAAGGCACAGCAAACACACACAAACAAAAAAAAATCTGGAGTAGAGGTCAGAAAAGGTCATATAAAATTTAATTATGACAATACAAACATGCACAAATGTCTTACGTGGACTTCGGAGGGAGGGATGCAGGATATGGGCCTTTTAAACTTAGCTGTGAAATGTGCATCAAAAAATTAGTACTGTCTGATTGATATGTTAAAAAAAAGGCAAATATGTTTGTAATATGCTAGAATTGTGGGAGAACTGGAGAACGTTTCTGGAGAACGTTTCTTAGCCACATTAGCACAGACTTTTCTGCCACAACACAAAAGCATATTTGATCTGTATAGTTAAAGTTCTCAGCTTTGCCACGGTTCTTTTAACCTACAGTTGCCTTACACATGAGTATTTAATATGTTTATACAGTGGTGAATCGCAGTCAAGAGGCATTGGAGGCAAAAAACAAGTCTTCTGCAATGAAAATGAGAACATTCCCATATGTATTTCTATGGTAATATGTGTATTGGAGCTGCCTCTTTTGCTGGAACGTAAGAGCTCAATGTGACGGCTAGCATGAAGACAGTTAAAGGAAGCAAGCCTGTACACATAACTATTTATTTATAAGTGTAATTTATTTCTTTACGTTTCCAAACGTGTATTATGTCGTATGCCTGGGGTTTATGCAATATATAGTATAAGAATGCCGGTCTATGTTTCCGGGTTGTAACGTCTGCAAAACCTGTCAATGAATGGTGTCATGGACCGTGAGACTGTAAGTGTGGGCAGCTCAGCCTGGCATCTCTCGAAGTCTGTGAGAACACCTGTTTCAGGATACTAAGATACTTGGAGCTTGCTCTGCTGGACATGCTGGAGTTGACCTTCTGTTTCTCTCACTCCAAGAACTATTTAAAATAGTAGGTTCTTATAATTATTCATTGTCTACCCAGGCAATTCTCTGCAGATGTTTTTGCTTTCTATTAAAGAGGATATATCAAATGGGTTACTTTTGTATGGTTTTAGCTGTTCTTTTTTGTGCTGACAGTTTTTCATACTGTATTCAGAATAAATTAAAAAACGAACAAAATCTTACATATTGACTCTGTTTTTGTGTCCTAGTGTTATGAGTTGTTACGGCAAGATAATTCAAACAGGGCTTGTGGGCTAGCAAATGAACAGCTGACCGGAAAATGGCTTCAACAGATTGTTTTGAAAATGCATGAGTCTGTCTTGACTCCTATCGTAAAATTACCCATATACATTCATTTTTAACTCTATACTGTAAGGTTTTGGACAGTGACTGTATTTTTTTAGTCTAGCACATTAAATTGAAGATGAAACAATCACAAAAATGGTTGAAGTGCAGCATTTCAGTATGAATTTGAGTGTTTATACAAATTATGGAAAAAACAGTTACTGTTCTCCGCCAGACTTGACATGCTTTGAAATTCTCATCTATTGTTAAAAGGGAATTTAACTTTTTGTGGTTTTTTTTTTCTTAAAACTTCATATTCAAATCGTTAGGAAATAAATATTGAATATGAAATGTGCCATTCTAGAGCAATCAACAAATTAAGTGAAGATTTATTTATATAGTGCTTTTTACAACAGGTGTCATCACAAAGCAGCTTTACAGAAAGTCGGAGAGAAACAGATTTGTTCACGGTGGTGATGGGAACCAGACATCTGAAGTGTTTAATGCCTCTGAAAGCTACATCACGGAAATCTATCACACAAAATAGTTATGACTATGCTGCCTGATGCCTGACACATTGTTTATAATAATAGTTTTAAGATGGTTTGAAAGGTTTTAGTCTAAAACAGTTTTATATATTATTTCATACATTTATATCGCTGTCAGAAGAAAACCTTGTATCTCCATTTTTGTTTTTGTTTTTCAGTTTTTGACATCATTTGAAAGTGTCTGTCATCCTATATATTGTATGTAGATTTCATGATGAATGGACCAAAAGAAATGGCCCAAAATGACTTGAAAATATTCTGGTTCCATTGACTTACATTAAAGTATGTTTTTTCCTTCTCCTGTAAAGTTACCATTTTGGAGGTTTTCTTCTGACAACAGTGATATGCAGGGCATTGTATAGGAAAAAAAGTGCCCAAAGAAAACCTTTTTTCTTATATTGATTTACCATTCAGAAGACACGTGCATAGTCACTGGTTGTTTTGGATAGTAAATTAAATGATGTATCTGTGTTGTAAAAATTGCGACCCCAAGGCCAGATTCACAAAAGAGTGTAAGAAAAAAAATCTTAAATGTGGCTTTTGTCTTAGCTACATATTTAATTTTAAAATGTTGAGATAAATTATTATATTTTTCCTAAAACATTCATACCTATATTACCCATGTGAAGTAATTGCCACCCTTGGCAGTAACAACTGCAGTCAAACATTTGTGATAACTTGCAATAAGTCTTTTTTATCTCTGTGGAGGAATTATGGCCCACTCTTCTTTGCAGACTTGTTTTAATTTGGCTACGTTGGAGAGTTTTCGAGCATGAACTGTCTGTTTAAGGTCTTACATCAATGGAATTCAAGTCAGGGCTTTGACTCGGCCACTACAAAACCCTAATTTTGGTTCTTTTGAGCCATTCAGAGAGGAACTTGCTTGTGTGCTTTACATCATTGTGCTGCTGCATAATCCAAGTGTGCTTAAGCTTTAGGTAAAGAACTGATGGGCGGACATTCTCCTTCAGGATTTTCTCATCGAGAGCAGAATTCATGGTTCCATCAATTACGACAAGTTGTCCAGGTCCTAAAGAAGCAAAGCAGCCCCAGACCACCACACCACCACCACCATGTTTGACTGCTGGTATGACATTCTTATGGTGGAATGCAGCGTTAGCTTTATGCCAGATGTACCAGGACCCATGTCTTCCAAAAAGTACCACCTTAACTAATCAGTCCACGAATAATTATCCCAAAGGTCTTGGGGGTCATCTAGATATTTTTGGCAAATGCAAGACGAGCCTTTGTGTTCTTTTTGGTTAGCAGCCCTCCCATGGATGCCATTTTTGCCCAGTGTGTACACTGACCTTAACTGAGGTGAGTGAGCACTGTGGTTCTTTAAATGTTTGTCTGTGTTCTTTTGTGACCTCCTGGATGAGTCGTTGATGCACTTTTGGTAAAATTTTGGTAGGCCAGACACTCCTGGGAAGGTTCACCACTGTTCCAAGTTTTCTCCATTTGTGGATAATGGCTCTCACTGTGGTTCGCAAGAGTCCCAGAGCTTTAGCAATGGCTTTGTAACCCAAGACTGGTAGATTTCAATGACCTTGTTTCACATCTGTAATTGAATCTCTTTAGAATGTGGCATCATGTGTTGCTTTTTGAGGCCTTCTAGCCTGCTTCACATTGCCAGACAGGTTCTGTGTCTAATATGTATATGATTAAATTCAACAGGTCTGGCAGTAACCACGTCTGGGTGTATCTAGTGTAACTGAACCCAATAGTGAATTGAATTTGGTTAACTGGTTGCTTTAGTAGCTAAAGGGGCAATTACTTTTCACAAAGGGCAAGGTAGGCCTGAACAGCATTTTTTCTTCAATAAATGAAATAATCATTCAAAACCACATTTTGTGTTTACATGGGTTACTTTTGTCTAATATTTAAAATAGTTTGATGATCTGAAACATTCAAGTGTGACAAATATGCAAAAACAGAAAAAACTGGGAAGGGGCAAATACATTTTTCACAGCACTGAATATACATTTGGTTCAATTTTATTTTCATTTTGCTGTCCTCTGATGCTGATGTGGTTAAACTGAATAACCAGTTAATGGAAATATGGAATATTTCTGGTAATCTGTAAAGTGTAACATGGTATTGATAGCCTACTTTTGAAAAACAATTGAAGTTTCCTCAAGAAAACAAATAAGACTTTCTTAAGAGAATATTTGAGAACATTGTTATAAGAATTGCATTTGAGAGCTGCTTAGTTTCTTAAGATCCTTTGTCAGTTTTTTCCTAGGAAAGCTTTCATAAAACTGGCCCCCTTTTCCTAGCACTATTATTGTAAATAATGTTAAAAGAGAATTCCACCAATTTATCAAAATTTCTCCATAATGAAGTCATTGCAATGAAAGCAAAGTTATTCAGATGGGTGTGATACAAAGTGCTCAATTCTAGAGAAACTTGAGTTAGTTCACAGTGACGGTGATAGCAACCAGACGTCCAAAGCATTTAATGCCTCTAAAAGCTCCCTTACAGGAAGTTGTTACATGAAATGCTGAAGAATACATTGCTTGGTGACTGAGACTTTGTTTTATGGTAGTTTTGAGAGAAGATTTTGGCTTAAAAATGTTTTGTTTAATCCATGGTGGAGGGAAATATGCAGGTTGTTCTAAGGCAAAACAGACCCCGAATAAAACTTTCTTTTCTTTTTGATTATTCGTCATTTTATTATCATGAACATTTGAACATAAATAAAGGAGCATTTTCCTGGTTGTTCTTCTGCACCAATGGGACATTGGTGTCAGAGGTGAGATTTTGCCGTCTGCAACAGGTTCCGCGTTTCAAGAGGAGCTCAAGATGCGTGACATGAAAAGCTGCACCTACACAAGCAGCCCCCTCTGTTAAAAAGGACATATGTTGTTGTTGTTTGTTAGTTTAAGGTGTGTTTACGCCGATACCATTTGTGACTACTGTACGCAAACTGAAACCATGAGAAACATTTAATGGTTTCTATGATTTTTTTCAGCAGGGCTGCAATGCAGCGTCTGTACCACGCGGTGGCGACACTAGCAATGACAGACGAAGAGCCGCTTTCAATAGCCAATCCGTTGCGCCGTTATGAATACCGCAGGTTAGACCAATCAGCGACGGCGTTGTAGAGGAGTAGAAAGTTTCCAAGATGGTGCTTGAAAGTACTATGGTCTGGTAAGAAATAAACAAACGCGTTGGTTCAGTTTTACTCTTTGCATGTCTATCTTACGTTTAAAGGTTATTGTTAATGAACCAGGTTTTGATTCGGTGTATTAATGTACGGGTGGTTATGCGTGGAAGTGTAGGCAGCGGAACAATGCAGGGCCGGTTAGTCTGATTCTCCTGAGTCATTATTACCCATCCGGACTGCTAGCTGTCTGACAACCTACACAACTGACTGAAAAACAGACTTCTGACAGTGGTAGAAACAAAGGAACGTAGCAACGACGAAAGTGGTCGATGTGAATGATAAAACATGCCTGGTTTCTACCTGCTGTGTGTGTCTGTAACGGTTTTGTAGTGGCTAACTAACGTTAGCTAGCAGCCCTGACGCTGGATTTGTAGCCTAACGGCACCGATTGCCGACAGGCTAACGAGGACGAGCATCTTAACTTCGTTTTCTGACAAACTGTCGGCAGTTCAAGTTCAAAGTCTTACTGAAAAAATATGGAAATAGTAACGTAACCTTATCGTTAATACGTGTCGTGCCGTTTAGCAAAGATGTTAACTAGGTTAGCTAAGTTAGCTCGCAGTGTGGTAAAGTTAACGCGTTATTCACACAAAGCGTCTGTGTGGCTCGTTAAGGTCACTGAAAGTGTCATTTGCTCTTTCATGTTTAGTGCAAATAGTTAGATATTCGAGAAACTAGCTAGTTCTCAGTAAGCTAACTGCGATCGGAGCTAACATGATTCAGCTAACGTGGCACAAACCTGCTTTTGTCAATGAGCTTCTTGTCCGAATTTTCCCGTTCCACCTTAAATGGTGCAGCAGTTAAACCCAGGCGCCTGCACCATTTAAGGTGGAACGGGAAAATTCGGACAAGAAGCTGGTGAGTAGGAAGCCTCGTTGATGTAAATCTCACAAATTCAGTGTTTGTGTTTGAGCCAAGAACTGATACAGGAATACAAGTAGTGTCCACAAACCACTGGACATACTGTGTAGAATTAGGGCCAGATTGCACTTTCACTTTTAATTATTAAAGTGATACTACAGACAAAACGAAACATTTGACAGTTACTACAGTGGTTGTAAACGTGTCTGTTCGCATCCTGCAGTGGTGCCTCAGTATTCTGTAGAGTCAGATTTTCCAGTTTAAAGACCAGGAAAACCCCCTTATGATAATGTATCTTGAAGGTGGGAGGAGCATTTGGGGGGGGGGCTGCTTTGGGTTGATGTTTTTTTTTTATTATTTTTATTTATTTATTTATTTATTTTTTATTATCTTTACAATTTTCTATTGGTTCCTGGTCTCACTAATGGTGTTTAGTGTTTTCCTGATGGGTTGATATCACTTCATAAAGGACTCTAATAGGATCTAAAGCTGTCCTACAAGAAACTAGTGGTCTGTAATAGTAACTCTTAAACCACTTCCCATTAGAAAACAAAATCATCAAAAAAATCATCCAAAAATCATCGTTCTAATGATCTTTTGTTCAGCAGGGTTGACATTAGCATCCGATCATCATCCAGTCAGAACACAGCATGTGTACACTTGCCTTTTTCATATGTTGCTTCTGCATTCAGATATTGATTGAGCTCATTTCCCTGTGCAATATTTAAAATTTTAATCAGGCTGCTCTGGCAGAGCCTAGTAACTGAAGCACAATCTAAAGGAAAAGTTAAAATGGCAGGCAGCTCCACAGGTGGCAAACAGCTTTTCGGCTTTTGCATTCGTAGGTCTACATCTGAATGCATATTCTGACACTCATGTTACACCACAAATGTAGCCACACTGGCCAAATCATCTTTACACACACACACATGCAATCTGAATGCGTGCTCGACTACCTCGGGATCAGGACAGCTAGAGCTGAACACATTCCAGTCACAAACGCGGTTACACTTGTCTATTAAATCTGTGTACAGGCAGTGTCCTGATATGGGGCACATTTTTCCCTTTTCTGTTTCATTTTTGATGATTCTCCAATTTTAAAACAAAAATGTTAACACAGATACACTTGATGCAGGGCAGATTTGGACCTACATGAGCCCATTTTTGATGGCCCATCAGGATTGGTTGACACTGCAGTGATTGATTCCATATGGCACATTTACATAATATTTGCTGGGTGTTGTAGTGAGAAAACAGTGATGAAACATGAAAACGATATCAAATCGTGAATTCTTTCAAACCGATGAAGCTGAGGGATACAAGGATGCGCTACAGGACTCTGCATAACATGACAAATAACATGAATCGTAGTTCTAGGCTGGAATGCCACTAGTCAGGATTCTATTAATGAGAAACACCGAAGCTCTTAGACTCTCATGGCCATGCAGTTTGCGTTTCCCAAGGCAGAACCAAATGTATTGCTTTGAAGTGCGAATGAAGTGTAAAATAAACATTCATGGCCTAAAAGGTTTAATACATACTTTCACTGTTCTCATCTATGTTATTCTTGTTTTGCAGTGTGGACAACAGTGAGTACATGAGGAATGGTGATTTTCTGCCCACCCGATTACAGGCACAGCAAGATGCCGTCAATATCGTTTGTCACTCCAAGACCCGCAGCAATCCGGAGAATAATGTGGGACTCATCACAATGGCCAAGTGAGGGCATTATTAACATTAGCCATGCTGCAGTAGCGCTTGTTTGTTGATTTGTTTTTAATGGTCTATTATGTGGATGTATTTGTGCGCACAGTAACTGTGAGGTCCTGACTACTCTTACACCGGACACGGGGCGCATCCTCTCCAAACTGCATGCCGTTCAACCCCGTGGAAAGATCAGCTTTTGTACTGGCATTAGAATAGCCCATGTGAGTATGACCTACGTCAGGGACGCTCAATCCTGGTTCTGGAGATCTGCCACCCTGGAGAGTTTAGATCCAGCACACCTGGCTTATATAGTCAGATACCCCTGTAAGCCTTGATTACCTGGATCAGGTGTGTTAGATTAGGCTTGGAGCTGCAGGGTGGTAGATTTTCAGGACCAGGATTGGGCATCCCAGACCTACACTGAACTACATTAATTTCATTTATGCTGCATGACTTACGCTCATAATGACCTGCTCATGGCTTTTCTCTGTATGTATGGGTCTTTACAGCTGGCACTGAAGCACAGACAGGGCAAGAACCACAAGATGAGGATCATTGCTTTTGTGGGCAGCCCAGTAGAGGACAATGAGAAGGATGTAAGTGTGTGTATTATGCCAGTTGTTCTCGACTTGGAGGACTCCATGCACTGCACATTTTAGTTTTTTTCCCTGCTCCCAACACACCTGATTTTCCTGAGTTCTGGCAGGAAAACACAGACATGTTCAGGGCAGGGGGTTCTCCAGGTCCAAGGTTGGGAACAACTAATATATATATATTACACACACACACACACCGCTGCTGTCGGGACAAAACCTCGTATATCTATTTTTGTTGTTTTTCAGTGTTTGACATAATTTGAAAATGTTGCCCTTTACATTGTGTGTAAATTGGACCAAAAGAAATGGCCCAAAATTACTTTTTAAAAAGTCTGGTTCCATTGACTTATATTAAAAGTAAAGTATGTTTTTTCGTTCTGCTGTAAAATTATCATTTCGGAGATAGAAGGTTTTGTTCCGACGACAATATATATATATATATATATATATATATATATATATATATATATATAAGTGTGTGTGTGTATAAATGTGTTGATTGGACTGTTCAGTGCCTCTGCATGTGAGCAGTTACCTTGCTTTTCTAATTTCCGATATATCCCTTTCACAGCTGGTGAAACTGGCAAAACGGTTGAAGAAAGAGAAGGTCAATGTGGATGTCATTAATTTTGGAGAAGAGGTGACCTGTTTTTTGTTGCATTGATTATATGTGTGGAATTAGTGTAACTAATTCTGAAGTCGAGCAGTGTTTACAGTCATCAGCACAAGAAAGCACTTTTATTAGGTTATAAAGATTATAATGCCTCGCCTATTCATTAAAGTGGTTTCTTTATGCAGCAGAATGAGTTTGCTCAATAATGATGGGCTCAAACTTGCATTAAACAGCCAACAACGTTCTGTGATGATGGCAAGTCCTATTCCAACAGTATGCTGTATTTTACGTATTTTTTCCATAAGCAACAGGTTACAGGTCATAAACAAGAACAAAACATTAAAACTATATACGATAAGGCTCAGAATGCAGCAAAACAAAAATAATATAAATTGTAATTTAATGCACCTTTACTCAGGGTTCTTTTTATAAGAAATGCTAAAGCTTTTGCGGTCATGCAGTTTGCATCTCTCAAGGTTACAGGATTAAATTTGATAAAATGTATCAACAATATCTGGTGAATAGGGCTGATTATCGAAATTTAATACATTTATGGTACCCACCGAATTACTTCAGTACTACAAAGCATCAAAAAATTGTTATTCAGTACCAAATATACATAACACTGTTGTCAGAAGAAAACCTTGTATCTCCAAAATGGTAACTTTACAGGAAAAGGAAAAAACCTACTTTACTTTTAATGTAAGTCAATGGAACCAATTTAATTTACACATAATGAAATTTACATATAATGTGAAGAGCAACAGGCATTTTCAAAATATGTCAAAAACTGAAAAATTATAAAAATGGAGATATGAGGTTTTCTTCTGACAACAGCAATAAGCAGTCAGTCTTGGCATCTGTGAGCCAACAGACTGATAACTGGCTGTCTAAAATGTCATATTCATGTTCTTTAAGTCAGGTCTTTCTTGATTAGTCTATATTCTGTTGCTGTTAATAAAAATACTCACTTCCAGCACCACATACTCCTTTCTGGTTTAAGCCACACACTTTTAAACGTAAATAGGTTCAGCAGTCAGTGTCAGAATTGGTATTGATACTGAAACATTTTTAATGATATCCATGCCCTATTAGTTAAGTGTTAATATTAAAATACTTATGACTTGTGTGTTGTCTGGTACGCTTCTTTAAGGATAACTGATGAATTTTTATTTATTCATTTATTTAATAGAGTAAGCTGGGTTTTTTTTTCTAGGATTTTTTAATCACTTAGCTTTGTTTGGATTTTGCATTTTTGCGCTCTCTTTTTTTTCTGATTGTGCTTCAGCCTCGTTGTTCTCACTTGTCCTCATTCCTTAGGAGGTGAACACTGAGAAGTTGACTGCATTTGTGAACACTCTAAACGGAAAGGAGGGCACAGGCTCTCATCTGGTCACTGTGCCCCCTGGCCCCAGTCTAGCGGACGCTCTGCTCTCCTCCCCAATCCTGGCGGGTGAGGGTGGAACCATGATGGGTCTGGGCGCCAGCGACTTTGAGTTTGGAGTGGACCCCAGCGCTGACCCCGAGCTCGCTCTGGTAAGATGACATGAGCGGGCATCTAGATTCCCAATAACTGTTGAGGATCTGGAGCCTGTTTTTGTGTCCCTCACTTAAAGGTAGCCTTTCTTAAACAACGAAATAGTGTTCAAAGCAGTGTTTGAGTTTGAACAAAACAAGCTTTAACAGTTTGTCAGAATATAGTTGAGTTCTGACTAGTGACAAAATTGAAGCACTGGGATGAAATCAAACACAACCATAGCAGTCACACCTCTGGTAATAAAATGTGTCTATAAATATCAAATAGTCTATGTTTAAACAGTTTAAATTAATCTTGCATAAAAACCTTTGTTTTATTTTCCTTCTCTCCCCAGGCTCTCCGTGTATCTATGGAGGAGCAGAGACAGCGGCAGGAGGAGGAGGCTCGCAGGGCAGCTGCCCAGTCAGCAGCGGAGGCAGGCATTCCCACCCCTACTGCTGATGGTAAGGATCCAAAGGAAAAATTAGCTTTTTTAAAAAATTTAATTTCCTGTTGCATTTAAATAAAAGGGACAATCTGGCCAAAATGAAAAATGTAACCATCATCACCACCTGCTGAAAACATGCTTACTCTCATCCTACAGCAGTGCCACAGAAGTCTCGAGAGTAAGATTTTTCAAGTTAAAGATTAGGAAACCCCCTTCTGATGACATATTGTAAAGATGGAAGGAACTTGTGGAAAAACTACAACTGATGTTTTGTGCCGAGATGTTTTAAAGCCAAATACATCATGTCTATGTATTTGCCAGGAATATCTTGCACGTCTTCAAATCATCTCTACAATGGAGAGAATTGATTACTCAAACAACAGAAATGACTCATCAGATGATGAGGACAACAAGCTAAAAGATAAAGTTAACAGTATACCTACTTGACTATCTAAACACTTTTCTTTTTTACTCCGTCACATCCAGATTTTCTGCCCTCAAGCCATTTAATTGAATTGTGTTATTAATAACGATATTGATTATAGAGGATATAATATTGATCGACAACCCTGATAAAAGTACGTAATACTAGCTTGGGTGTATTTTATATCTGAAAGATCATTGGCTGGTCTAACACTCAGGATTGGTTGAGGAACTGAGGGGGTTTCTTTATAGTTGTATGGCATGTTTGAGTAATGCTTGCTGGATACTGAAGTGAGAACGTTTCTTGTTTTTTTTTTTTTTATTCATCAAACGATATAAAATTTTTAAAACTGATGAGGCTGAGGGATACATTGCAGTGCTACAGAATATGGCATAAGATGAAAAATAACATAGTGAATGCTTCCTTTAGGCCTGAATGTCCCTTTAAGCTTTTGTAGTGTTCATATTTTAGCTGCCCGTGTAATTGAACCTTTGCAGACACCTTGTAGCCAGTGATTGCTTTTCACTATGACAGGTCAGGCCTGTTTTTTTTTTGTTTTTTTTTTGGCTCTTATGTAGTCATTTATAACAACTTTCAATTCTGATGTCAGGAGTGTCTTTGTGCTGCTAGAGTCTCCATTTTGTGACTTGCTTTGAGTTATTTGAGTGGCTCATTCATATATTTGTGTTTTTCTCAGAATCGGAGGAAGCTCTGCTGAAGATGTCTGTGTCCCAGCCGGAGACGGGTGTGGCATCACTACCAGACTTCAGCAGCATGACTGAGGAGGAGCAGATTGCCTATGCCATGCAGATGTCCTTGGCTGGTGGAGGTTAGTTTACAGTTTTGTTGACATCTGTTCCCCTCACAATCCTGGGCAGAGAGCCCAGATGATCTACCCCCTGCAAAGTTTACTTTCGACTTTAATCTTACCTGCCGGTTTAATATTCATGTTGACTGTTATGCTTGTGAAGTGGAATTTCTGATGGGACATGCTGTCTGTGAATGTGTCTGTCCACATTTTTTTTTTTACAGAATTTGGAGAATCAATGGACACAGGAGCTCCAATGGACACGGCTGAATCAGCAAAGGTAAAAGCACCTAACCAATGTTTCTTCTTGGTCAAATTAACAAAATTAATTTCCACTCTAATTTGAAATCTTGTCCTTACTCACTAAATATCTTTCTATTGCCAACAGGAAGAGGATGACTATGATGTAATGCAGGATCCAGAATTCCTCCAAAGTGTACTGGAGAATCTTCCTGGTGTGGACCCCAACAATGAGGCCATCCGCAATGCCATGGGCTCTTTGGCCTCTCAGAGTGGAACGAAACAAGATGGCAAAAAAGATGAGGAAAAGAAAAAATAAAATGTTGTAACCAAACGTTATTGATAGACAACCTATTTGATGGAGAAATAAAATGAGAAAAAATCCCCTCAGAACAAAAACAGTGAGCCCCGTATGTTGCAGCATACAAGCCTCTATAGTGACAGGCTGTAGAATGAATGATGATTGGGGCACTAAACATTGTAAAACAACTTTGGATGGATACCAGTTTGCTCAGAAATTGTCTAGCAAAGCTGGTACCTCAAATTCACACATAGCTTGCTAACTACTTTTGTTCCTTTTGTGGTCGCTTGCTCTCTCTTTATGTTCACAGCTGACTTTTTGTTTACTTTGTTTTTCTTTTTTCTTATTGCCATTAAAGGTTCAGTTTAAGAATAATGATATTCCTCATTGCTCCTTTTTACTTTCCCCTGGATTTCTATTCTGCTAATAGAAAACGATATCAGCTTTTCCACTGAATAGTCACAAACTCATGAACTGAAAGTACTGGGTATTACAGATAGGGTTTTATTAAAGACCTTTAAAAAAACATTGTAAACAAAGTTTGTTTCAGAAAATTTCTAAATGTTTTTCTTGAAAAATAAACCTACTGTATAGAATTTTCAAAGAAAGCTGTCAGTGTTCCCAAAATGATCATGTACAGTACATATAAACAAAAGCTCCAAACTACAGCAATGCTTGTGTCCATTTTATCTCACATGAACTTTCCACTGCTTTCATCCATTTATCCATAAATGGCTAAGGTTATCGTATTACTGATACAGTATTCACCCATAAAGTATTGTAAGAAGAAAAAAAAGTATGTAAAAAAAAAAAAAAAAATACAAACTAACTTTTAGTAAAGGTTTTCCAGTGCAGGTTTGTGACAATATTTACAGGTCCATACTGACTACAGTACCAGTCCTGATATACAAACAGAATGTTGGAACTATTTAGACCAGTTCTTAAACATGTATCACTTCAAGACTAACTTTGTGAAGGCACAGGTTCAAACTGCTCAGTACAGAAACTGATAATGCACTTTATCCATATGTTGACACCACATCCTATTATGACACATCATACAGTAGTGAGGCACAGTAATATACAGCTCTCCATAGGGCCGATTTTTTTTTGTACCAAAATCTAAATTTGTCATAAGGGCAATTCCAAATCTTAACAATACAAAGTTCGTCTGGCACCCTGCATTCAGCGTTCAAGCCAGAAAAAAACTGATGTGCAGATTTTTCACTAACAATCATAATATTGATCAGACAAATCACAATTAGATATTTTCCACAAATCGTTCAGCCCTAGCGCCACATAATAAAGCCATATGCTTGTGAAAGTGAATTACTCTGTTTTATGTTTAACGGTATGAGAGTAAAACTTGTCCAGTATCGGATTACAAGGTCTTTCATAATGCATGTTAAGCTCCATAAATAAATATGGAAACCTTATTTAGCACAAAACATGACAGATTACCTTTTTGAAAGATACTTGCTAAGGTTCCGAGTCTTAACAACTCATACTACTGCACCTACTGAAAATACAGAAAACATCCTGTTTCCTACAGAAGGCTGCATTTCCAACCCAAAGTGACATATGAACAATACTGCTAAAACAAAACTATTCTCATCTGTCAGAGAAAGTTATGTATAGGTATCTAATTCCCAAAAGCATGTAGAAAATAGTGTTCATGTAATCCCAGAAGACTGCTTGCGCTATAGGAACAGTCAGCACATTCAAAATTCTCTTCTTGCTCCTCATTTTGTTCAGTGTTTGCAGTGGTGGTTGGGTCCTCTAGGAATACACTAGTTTCCACAAAATTATCTGTCTGAGTCACAGAATCGTGACTAGCTTCGTCCTCAACATTACTGGTTATTGTGCAAGGTGCTGGCATGCATTCAGTGGACTGAGACTGAAGAGGAGTAGATTCTGGGCTTTCCAAAGCCTGAGGTAGATGTGTGGTATTAGTCTCAGAACAGACTGAGGAACTTTCTGGTATTCTTCGCTCAGAGTGTTCACTTCCAGACATGCTAATGTTTGCAGATGCTTGGTCACTACTTGCTGGCTGCGTGCTCTCCTCCTCATCGGGGTCCAAATTAATGAGCGGGAGACGTGTTCTTGACAGGCTAGGCATCACATAGAGCTTGTCTGGGTGGGGGTAAGTATAAAGGCGCTCATCATTTGGAACGGCATCAAGGTTAAGATTTGATAACACAGGCCTGGTAGTAGGTGATGGTGAGTCTGTGTGAGGTTGAGATCTCCCCTCAAACCCAGACGAGGTAGATTTGTTAATATGGGTAGGACAGACCTGACCTCCGAAATGACATATCTGGTGAGCATAGAGCAGATCACCTGTTGAGAAGCTGGCCTTACATTTCTTGCACTTGTGTGAAAATGCTAAAGGCTCTGATGGAATATCAGGGAGGGGAAGACCAAGCATGTCCTGGTGAGTTTTCAGATGTTCCTGTAGGATTTTGTTGTTTGTAAAGGACAGTTTGCATGTGAGACACTGGTGAGAAACTGCACCATTGTGTAGACGACTGTGCTTAAGCAGGTTTTTCAAATTACTGAAGATCTTCGCACAAACGTCACACTGGAAGATTTTTGACGACTGATGAAATTCACACTGGTGAGCATGCAAAGCTTCTCCATGGACAAAGGTTTCAGGACAGACGGGACAAGCGAAAGGTCTCTCCCCTGCATGGTCCAGCATATGCCCTTTATATGAACCAATGAAGCGAAATTGGAGGTTGCACTGTGAACAAGAATAGCAACGGCGTTTCCTACGATGAATCCTTTGGTGCAACCAAAGTCTACTCCACCTCTCAAACGACTGCCCACATGGTCCACAAACATATCTAAAACCATGGGCATGTGTCTGCATGTGAGCACGTAAAGTCCTGTATTGCTCATATCGCTGACCACATGGGCACTCAAATTTCCCAAGACTTGGTGAATTTTCAATGCATTCCAGAGAGTCATTTAAGGAGACGCAAGTGATCACAGAAGGTGTGGGTGATGGGGGACCTGAATGCAGATGAATGGGTAACTTAGCAACATAAGTCTCAGGCAACAATGACACCTCCATGACCTCAGAGGGCTGAGGATTAAGGTGTTCTGTCCCTTGCAGAAGATCAGTGGAAGCTTGGGAATCCTTCTGAGAGTGACTTTCATTTGACAGGGAATTGTTTTTGGTTTTGGAATTTTGTACAGAATGAGGGTTAAGGGTTGAAGTATTCAGAGAGGAAGTATATTTTTGGGTGTCACTGGAGAAGATTTCAGAAAGTGATGCACGACAAGCCACTTCTTCCCCGCTTGACTTACAGCAAACCTTACAATGAACGCTAATGTCGGAATCCTTCGTATAACTCTGTCCACAAGTGAAGCAAAGATATGGTGGAGCTTTTGTGTGGGTTTCAAGATGAAGAGTATACTGGCACCACTTTTGACAAAGCAGTTTGCATATCTGGCATCTGAAGAAAACTGGTGTATTTACTTGACCATCAATTCCTTGACTGACTAGGAAGCCCTCAATGTCACAGTTGCCCCCATTTATTTTTCCTTTTACACCACAGTGCTTGGATACCTGATGCACTCGTAGTGCAGAGAGGTCATGGAAAGCACGGCCACAGTGAGAACAGGAGAAAGGAGTCTCCCCTGTGTGGCCCTGAGAGTGCTTTTTCAGTGCCTTGAGTCGGTTAAACCCTTTACCACAAATGGAGCAGGCATATGGTTTCACAGGCCAATGGGTCTTCTCATGGACCTGAAGGTGTGAAGATTTCTGAAATTCTTTTCCACAGGTTGAGCAGGACAGAGGACTCTTTCCATCATGCCTATGCATATGAATTTTCAAAATAAATTTGTTGGGAAAGTTTTTGTCACAAATCTCACAAAGGAGACTCGTGTCATTTCTGAGGGGAGAAGTTAAAGGGGTAGAATCTCTGAATTTGATATCTCTGTCAGGTCCACTCTTCTGCTTTGTCCCCTGTAAGTGGATCTTAAAATGGGATACCAAACTCTGTTTTTGGGAGAATTTTTTACTGCAGCATGGGCAACGCAGAGCTTCTGACTGCATATGAATTTTTCTGTGAGATTTGAGTTCGGAGAGCTGAGCAAAGTTCTTGCCACAAAGTTTGCATCTGTAAGGTTTTTCACCAGTATGAATACGCTGATGAATGGTGTATGCCGAGATATGACGGAAAGATTGACCACAGTACTTACAAATGATAAATTTCTTTGCTAATTCTTTTGGTAGGGATCCTACTTTCTTATGTTCAGCAGCATCATCTACTGCACATGTGCCTATGTTTAGTGTTGCTATGAAGTCTTCAAAATACTGTATAAACCCACCTGCATTTTGACCTCCAGAACTTTTAACTGAAATGCCCTCTCTAGCAACCTTAAGTCCAGCATTTTCAACTGTAACATCCCTCGTTAATACATCCAGATCAGATGCTCTGATACTTGTATCCGTCACAAGCTTCTCTGACTTTTCTTCCTTTATCTTTTTATCACAAAATGCATCACCGATCTCGTTGGAATTAAATCCTGTGGTATTAACAGAGGACTGCAGAGATAATTCAAAAGCATCACCACCATTTGATTCAGTGCTGGGAGTGTCTTTCTTCTTTTCATCCCATCTTGTCTTTTTCTTGCATTCTCCTCCCTTTACGTCCTTGTTCTTTGACTTAGAAGATAAGGGAGTGGACAGAGCGAAGTGGACTTCTTCAGCTGCTGTTGTCAGTAGCATCTTGCTACTATCGGCACAAAAACCTTTTGCTGAGCATATTTCAACATCTCTCGCTGTAGATTCCCCATTGGCTATACCAGTCTTGAGAGGGCATTCAAAGGAATCTAAGCCAGTTTTTCTTGACTCCAGTTGCAAACTTCTTGCTTGCTGGCTCAATTCCGTCCTCTTGGAAACTTGTTCAGTGTTCTGTTTTGACATTTTCCTCTTATTTTTTAATTCTGCCTTTACATTTGGATTCTCTCCACATTCAACCACTAAAGGTGGTAGCTTTAATATGTGACTTTTCTGGCCAAATTTTTCCTCTTGCATTTCTGCGTGGCTCCCCAGTGTCTCTGAGCTATTCTCCAATACGTCTGTGTCTGCAACCATACCTTGATCCTGGGCAATCTTTTCACTCTTGAATTTTCTTGTCCTGGGAAGGATGCACGTTGCTACCTGTATTACTTTTCCCTTGGATACTTTTAGGTGGTGGCCACGCAGTGTGCAAGAAACCAATGAACTATCTTCGTTTGTCTTTTGGTCTTTTTCCTCAGATGTTGAAGTTAGGAGACCGTTGTCTGTAATGTCACAGCTACTCTTAGGCAAAGGATCACTGATGTTGGATCTGATTTGAGATCTTTTCTTCTTATTGTGCTTTCTCTTTTTTCTTATTGTGCTTTTGCGGTGCACTTCATATGATATAGCTGAATGATACTTTGATGAAATGCTGTCATTTGCTGCATTGTGACCAGGTTTTTGAAAACCTCTGACTTTGCCTCGGGTAAACCTTGACAGTCTTCTGGAATATCTCAAACTTGATACGTTGAAGTTTGGTAACTGCTTTTTGGACTTCTTGCCTCCGTTTTGTGCACGAGCAGGAAGAGCTTGCAGACTGTTTACCATCTTAGAAGTAATCCTCTGTTCTGGAGGGTCATTTTGCAATCCACTGGCAACAGCAATTTTTGATAATGTCCTTTTCCTGCACGTCCGGCTAAACTTTCGTTTCATCAGATTTGTGGGTTCTGTAGCCGTAGTTTCATTTTCTGCACTAGCAGCACTTGCAGAAAGATATGAGATTTGAAGGGGTGGGATATTATTTTCCACAGGAGACGTGCTCTGCTTTGAAACTTTCACAGGCTCAAGATCTGTTTTTTCAGCTTTGCAAATTAAGGCTGTTTGCACTGCATTTGTCTTTGATCGTGCAGATCTTCTCTGCTTCTTTGGAGGTCTTCTTTGTGACTTCTGCCCAGCACTGCTGGAGCCATTACAGTTAGAGATACTAGTGTGACTATCCACAGTGTCCCTGGTAGCTACTGGACGAGACAGAATTGTCTGCTTCTGCTCAGGACTCTCACAGGGGTCCTCCAACACCAGGCTGACACCAGAAGAGGCCTGGATACTGGAACAGGAGTTATTTTGTCTTGTACGGCATGATTTTCTAGAACCATCCACTGTTGACTCAGTATGTTTTTTCTCTGACTTAATTTCCATCTTTATTAAATCTCCAGAAACATCATTTTGAGAGATTTTCTGCAGATCTTTCGCAGTTATATTTTCGGAAGTATTCAGGGCTGCTGATAATGGTTTGGCTAATTTCATTAGCTTCCTCTTTTTAAAGGGACGGCGAGCTCTTTTTCTCTTTAAAACACGAGCTTTAATGCTCTTGAGATTAACCATTTTAAGATCATTCTTACCAAGACTGGGGGAACTGTCTTCACAGGTTTCTTCTACTTTGATTGAAACTCTTCCTTTCTCAAGAAAATCTGATACATTTTCAAAATGAGTAGAAGGCAAATCACAGCAGCCTTGAGAATAAATAGGTTCTAGCTTCACATTTTTTGGAGTACTCTTACAAACAAGAGAGTGGTTTTTAGAGGTAGATTCTCGTTGCCTTAGCTTCTTCAGATAATCTTTGACTTCCATTGGTTCAGTTTTAATGTCAGATACAAATTGAAATGTATTGTCTAATTCTCTAGACAAACAAGCATCAGGTGCTCTATAAGTTTCTATTGTCTCTGCTTTTGCATTCTGTCCACATTTAGGTTCTTCTGAGGTTTTCACAATACTGAAATCCTCCAAACTGTGCTGCACTGGTTCCTGAAGAGAATTCTGGTCATCAGCTTTGCTTGTTGCATTAACACTTTCAACATCTTCGTTTGAACGTCTTCTGATGCAGCTTTTAGATCCTGAATTCTGAATTTCAGGGGTTGTGTTAACATCTTCATATAAACCAAAAGATGAGAGTTTGTCTGTTGATACAGCTGGGCATTTCTGAGCACAGCCTAATGCCGCATTTTTGTTTTTTATTTTGGAATTCTTCCTTTTCTTAAATTTCCTGGTGGTATTCCTTGGGCTTAAACTTAAATTGTTCTCTGAGACTGAAATGGAATCTGCTGGCTCACAGGAAAGAGGATCTCCCTCCAAATTACAAGTTACATCTTTAGTTGTTTTGTTTGTAACTTTTGTTGCATGCACTTTTGCTTTTACAGACTTCTGTGCAGCAGATGTTGAGACTAATGAAAGACAATCTTCTTGTTGGGACACAGTTTGGCTTCTGGCAGTTTCTGGCAGCTCTGCACTGTTTTCCTCTTTTTCAGTCAAAGCTATAGGGCCACACTCCTGTTCTGCAGTTGGGGTCTTAATCACATTATATAAGCCAAGCTGTTGCTCCTCCGGGAGATGTGATGTTTTCTTTGGTGAGCCGCAACTGTTCTCTGGTTTCTTTTGCTTTTCCCTTGTGCACTGTGAAACATCAGTAGTGTTAACTGCCTCAGTAAGGCCTTCCGATGTTAAGTCCTCAAGGTTGGTCACAGGACAGTAGTCTCCAGTTTCTCTGCTTTCACAGGTTCTCTTTGGTGTTTGTCCAGTTAATGCCTCACAGTCTAAAGCTTTTCTTTTTCTTGGTGTCTTCTGCCTTTTTAATACATTTTGTAAATTCTGAGGGACATTTTCTGAGGTAAATGAGGGTGTGGACTGCTGTACATTCTTGAGAGAATCAAGTTGAGGTTGTTTCTTATAAGGGTTTGGTGAGTTTAAACACTCTTTTCCAGCTGCCATTGAGGGAAGTACTTTGTCAGAGGCAAAGTCTCCTGGCTCAGCAGCTGAGTCTTGAAATGTAGAGGGTTCCTGAGCTTCCACATGAGATGCCTGAGTACTAAAACCATTACCTGTTTTTTCCCATTTGTTTGGCTTCACTTGGTTTTTCACCACCTTCTGAGGACTTTGAACCCCAAAGCAGGCAGTTCTGGATGTTGATCCAGTTTGTTTTGTTAGTGTACATTCAGCATTTGATGCCATGTTTAAGGATACCTCTTGTCTAGGAGGTAGATCAGAATCTTCACATTCGGTTGCAGTCTCCTTTGTAGTGTCTGTTTGGATGTGAAAGGGCTGCGGAGATTTCAGTGTAGTGGTAGGAAGGATCTCCTTGTGAAGGTTATGCACAAGGTTCTCTAGCTGACTGAGAGAGGTAGAACATACAGAGCTTGGCTCAGCAGAGGTATTGGTAAAGGCACACAGCCTAACTGTGTTAGACTTCTCATTTTGAATATTAAGTTTTAAGGGGAAATTTTGGACGTCATCTGTACTTGTTCCTTGTTCTAGATTTTTAGATTTCCTTTCCATATTAGTTCTGATCATACTTAAATTATCTGACAAACAGGATCTCACTGTAGGACCTGAAACCGCTTTCTCTTTTGTAGGTACATGTTGCTCTAAAGAGCAAGTCTCAGTGGTGTTATAAAATCCCAGTGATGAGCACTGTTCAAGTGTCCTACAAGTTGTCTTTTTGTGTACCTTGTCGTTCACAGATGAGTCATCAGTCAGGGAATTTACCTCCTGCAAATAGGAAAAGATGAACTCATAAATACTATAATTTGTCTCAACTGGCTTCTTCTAAGACAATTTATACCTCAGTAAAACAAAACTTACCCTCTGTTGAAGATCTTGACTTGATTTAATAGGAGTGATCTTCGCCCCATCAAATAGAACAATAAGAGATGAATCTTGAGCACCAATCACTTCCTCTGTCTTGCAGTTTTCATGGTCATTTGAACTTTTGCAATCTACAGGGTCAAAGTGGCCCTTCAGAAGTTCTGTTCCTCTTGTCTCACTCTGTGCTTCCTCATAAACCACTGATGTTCCACAGGATACATCCTGTTCCAATTCCACACCATTACTCATTTCTAAAGCTTCTTTAATCACAGATGTCCAGTTAGAAGAGCTGCTTTTTTCCAGTTCCTGGTCCTGTAAAATAAATAATAACACAAATTCATCTCAAAAGAAAGTGAATTTAGAATTTTTAATTAAGAATAATCTGTAGTAGTCATTGTTACCGTTTCTTGAACCAGTGTATTTGAGGCATTGGTTGATGCAGCAGCTAAATCGTCATTCATAAAACTGAATCTCTCTCTCATCTCTACTGCAGTTCTTTCTCCATAATCCTCTGCAACGTGTCCCATATTGGATCTCATGGGGTGCTGACTGACTCTGTAATATGGATAATTTACTTTATCTGCTGCCATTCCTGAAGGAATTCCCTGGCCATCATCAGAAAAAGGATTTGAGGCACTAGATGTGTATGATGATGCATGTCCAACAGACTGGATGCCTCTCATCTTGTCGGTCCCCTAAAATTAAACAATATTTGAGTTTATAAAAGAAAGATTCAGTGCAGCTTGAAGCTTGAAGCATTCAATATTCACAATGAAGCTTCAACATACCTTTTGCTGAGGTGTCTGCGGCCAATTTGATTGTTCCTCATAATTTCCATCAGTTGTTGCTTCTCCATAATGTGGAGAAACATCATTAGCATTATCCAATTCTTGGCATTCCCGCAGTGTATCAGACCCATATGCCACTCCATGGCTGCAGCCCCGCTGGGCATTCCATGGCGGGAACTTGCCATTCATACTTTCACAAACCTGGGTGGTATGGTCTAACTCTTAATTTCCATTTGCTGGCAACAAAAAACAATAACAAAAAAAAAAATCAAACACGAAAGCCTGTAACAGTCCCATAATAAAGAAAAAACTAGAGCTGGGCAATATACTGATATTTATCTTTATTGTGATAAACTGCATCACAATATGATTTTCTGAACATATCCTGGATATCATATATATATATATATATATATATATATATATATATATATATATATACAGAATGTTTAGGCGTTCACAAAAGCAGTCTATGCTCTTTACTAGGCTAATAAAATAATACTGAGCTCACATGGAAACAAGATATCTAAAAAGTAACTTTCTGGTGGTAGTACTGATTTCAAGGCACCAGTATTGGTACCAGTATCAATGTTGACCCTACACAGCAATAGCAAGGCCGGCAAATCAGAAAATTTCTCTTTCTATAAACTGCCATGTAAAGTGTAATGCTGCAACAACTACTTGACATGCCATCAATTACGGAAAAAGGCCAATCTGCTTTTTACTTTACAACGTGAGTGCACTATAATGTCTCCTAACAGGGGTATTCAACTGTAATCCTGGAGGGGTGGTTTTCAGCACAGTTCCCCTGCTCAAACATGCCTGAGTCAACTGATAGGAATTACCAAATTGTTCTAAACACAAGCCATTCAGGACCAGAGTCGAATACCTCTGCTCTATGATGTTCATATATGCAGTTGTTCAGACAGACCGCAATACCCTGCAGGAAGCGTTGGGGGCGATATGGCAGCATGACTTCATGAAAGAATTTTGTACAGACTCGAATGAGCGGAAACAACAGAAAGCATAATGGTTTGACTACCCTTTAAACAGGCAATATTTTAACTGATCATTGAAATAATTAGTTGCTGCCCTAATAATGTGCTGTATTTCTTACATTCTACACACTTTTAATAAATGAAATTAGTGTCTTACCTGATTGGAGATTATGAGGATAATCAAAAATGCTATCAATTGGTGGTTACATGAATGCATCACAAATCTTGATGCTATCAGGTAAATTAGGGGTGTAAGACTATGGGCTTGGAGGGCAATGCTGTGTTTTGAGTGCTTTCTCTGATTTACCTTACTACACGTGACTTAACTCATCAGCTAACAGTCCAAGAAGTTCTTTATTAGCTGAACTGGGGTGGGTGATGGGGCCAAAATCTAATACGTGGTTCTTCAATTACTGTCCTGGAGTACAGTTTGGTGATTTCCCTGCTTAGACCAATCTGATTCAACTCATGTGTTAACTGCCAGGTTTAGTGGTTGTGTTTGAGCTGGAAAATCAACAATGCTGGACACTGACCCTCCAGGACCAGAGTTAAAGAGAGTTATACATGCAGCTGGTCAGTGTTCTTGACCTTCTTACTTGTGATATTCACCATATGTTCAAAAAAGCATAGTGTGACAAAATTTATTACAATAACAATTCCATCATACTGCCCACACCTGAGCTGACCTGAGGTAAGTCTTGATTTGAAAAACCCTTAAAGGAGAACTCCAGGTGTAAACAGTCATTCAGAGTGTTTTGGTGTGAAACGGTTCATTTGTAGAGAAACGTACAGACTCAGATTTCTTTAAAGTGGTCGTGATAGGAACCAGGGGTCCCAATGTCTACAACATATAAATATAGCCACTGTATTTACTATCCAAAACCACCAGTGAACCTACATGTGTTTTCTAAGTTTTTATGTAATGTTAATGATGGTAATATAGTAGTCAAGCTAAAAAAATAAGTTTTCTTTGGGGACTATTTTGCCCTAGAACACCCTGATTGTAAATAAATTGATTAACATATGTTTTAGGCCAAAACTTTGTCACAAAACTACCGCAAAATAATGTCTCAGACATCAAGCTGAGCATTCATAACCATTTCATGCAATATTTATCTGTGAGGGAGCTTTTGGTGGTTTCTCTCACCACTGTGAACAATTCTGACTCTGTAAGTTTCTCTAGAACGAAGTATTTCACACCAAACCACTCTGAATGACTGTTGACAGGTCTACCATTTAATTATTCAGAAATTTTGAAAAATCAGTGGAGTTCCCCTTTAAGACATGCAGATTACTGCAGTGTAAACCAAATAGTCTCACAACGTCCCAAATTCATTCAGCGTATTCTTACCTCGGTTAGACAACTGGCAAAAATGAATGGATAATTGCATAATGCAAAAACAATGAGAAAGAGGAAACGGTCACTTGGCGTATTTAAATCTGACACCGTGAAAAACTACTATCATTTTTAAAAACCTATTAAAAACAGGGATACGAAGGAGGAACTTCAGTGGTTACGGGTTTATCTACACCAGTTCTTCGGTACAGCGACTTCCTCAAACAGCGACACTTCTCCTTCACACGTTTCACTGCTTTTCTTCCCTCTGCAAACTCAGCCAGCTCGGTTCTGCCTCCGTTCACTGAGGCCTCACGGACTCCGACTCAGACTCAGCTACAGCGCGGAGCGGGTCTAAACTCACCGCTGCTGTTCAGAGCGAGTTTCTGCAGTCGACATTTCCACTTCGCTCAGAAGTTGTTAGTTACCTAAGTCCAGCAGCATGTCCTACTCCATGCTGACCACTATGCCCCTTCCCTTCCCCACCAGCAGCCCCTCAGAGTACAACTCCCCCCAACACAACACAGCACTCTTCTCTCACACCTCTTCTTCTCTCACTCACCGCTGCAGCTCGGCGGTTCACTCCTCCACTCAGGAGGGCTCGTCCGTCCTCAGCGCCTTCACGTCTTTCCCGCAGCAGCTCCTTTCTGCGCTGTAAGTTGTTTTCTGTCTCTAATGTGGACTCTGAGCAGTGAGGGTCCCGCGGCTGCACCCTGTTTTCTCCCACTGCTCCCCAACACAACATCCGCAAAGACCGGAAGTTGACAACGTTGTTGCCCGAGTAAACTCGCCAACCTCGACCACGAGTTAAACATGGAGACCCCGTACTAGCAGAGAGCACGCCCCCGCTCCGGCACCTTAGCCAGCAAGGCCGTTTCAGGTTTTAACCCAGACTGTGTTGATGTCAGAACTTTAATGAACCAGTAAAAATGTAAAAACTTCATTCTAACAATTCAATAACTTATACAGTCAGTTCAGCCTCAGACAGCGAAACACGGCCAGTGGGAATTATGTTTAACACGCAGCGTTTCCGCTGCCTCGAGTGGTGAAGGGCGCTCGAACGGCCGACAACGCGACCTCTACCCTTTTACACGAGTGAAAACACTAAACTTGCAGTGAATGTGAAACAAAAAAATATACCGGACGGACTTTTATCAAATATGTGTGCATTTTTAACACAGCAAAGAAAATGCTGGATTGTATTCACCGGACCGCCATGTTTTTCCGAGTGGTGGGCGTATCTACGAACGAACGAGCCCCTGAGCTAAATTGGGTTTAGTTGTGTTTACTAGTTACCAAACCATCTAGCTTTACATTAGCGCCCGAACACAGCACCAGACTTAAGTTCTCAGAAGTAAAAATGTTATTAGTATTAGAAAAAATGAAATTTAAAATGTAAAATTTATGTCTTACAATTCAGAAACTTAACTTTAAGAGCACTGGGCCTCATTCACCAACGATTTTCCACGTTTTTTCGTAAACCTGTTCTTAAGAAAGGTCCTAAGAAAGTCTGTCAGATTCATGATGTGTTCTTAAACCACAGAACTGTTCACACCTTTATCCTATTGAGTGTGAAGATTCTGTCCTTACCTAAGAACAAATCCCAAATAACACTGGTGGAATCTTCGTGAAAACTGCGTAAATGGGAGACATTTCCTTTTAAGAACAGATGGTGACTGAGGCCCAATTTTTACCAAATTAAAAAATTGCAGATTAAAAGCTAAAAAGGCTATCCATACATAACTCCTGGCCAGTATTCATGACATTTTAACTTGTTCAAATTAAATTTCTGATAAAGAAACTTTGGATTAAAAGCTAAAATGGCTTGTCTGGCCCTGAATTATGGGTGAGGTTAAGAAGAAATCAGCACATCTGTCCATCAATACCATTTTAGCTTGTAATCCAAATTTCTTTATATCGAAAATTCAGTTTATCCAAGTACAAATGTTACTAGCACTAGAAAAATAACATTTGACTGAAAATGTAAAAACCTAATTCTAACAATTCAACAACAGCTGGTAGAAATGTTTAGCATTTTAGCATTTAGAATTTAGCATTTAAGACTTGAGTTCAGAAGTAAAAATGTCAGTAGTAGTAGTAGTAGGGAAAAAAAAATAAATTTGAAATGTAAAATTTAGATCTTAAAATTCAAGAAGAATTAAATAAGAATTTATGGCTTTTCTCAATTCACTTGAATGGGAGGATATTGATTTGTTACATATTCTTATAAAACTTTAAATTTGCACATGTAACAGTTTTTTTTCTTGTGAGGACTGAATTGGCTCATGCTAAAATTTAATTGATAAATAAAAATGGTTCTCCCACTAAAATGAATTGAAAAAAGCCTGAATTCTTACTAGTGAGAACTGAAGCCCTAAATCAGATGTATGTATTCCAGTACTAATAATTTTAATAACATTTTTACTTTTTCAAATTAAATTTCCAAATTCAAAAATTGTGAATGAGAAGATAAAGAGCTTTCCATACATAACTCCTGGCCAGTATTCATATTTTAACTTGTTTACACTGAATTTCTGAAACTTTGAATTAAAAGCTAAAACGGGTTGTGAGTGAGGTTAGGAAGAGATCAGCACATCTCTGGCCATGAGATATCAATACTCTTTAGAGAAATTTACCATTTTCTAGCCATGAATATGACTTAGAAGTCATGAAGTGTTTGGTTAATTTATGTGCTTCTAGGCTGTCTACTCTTGGAAAATGTCAAACATTTGGAAAATATAAAATATCAGAAAATACATAGTACCCAGAAATAATGACACAAATAGTTTCTGTTTATTGTATTGGCCTTTTTACAAAAGATCACAGTCTTGCCATAACTCACTAAAACTTGTCATGTGTCACTGGATCATATACAATTTAATGCTACAGACGTTAGGTCTACAGGATGAACTAGACTAAACCACCAGTATTTACTATGAAGCACTGAACATACAGTCATTCTGAAATACTATAATTTATTTTTCATGGAAACTTCTGAGGTTTACTTTGTTTCTGTGTGGCCAATGACTTAAGTGCTAAAGGTAAAACTAATGTACACCGGTCAACTGCTACTAGCTTATTTCACTGAACGAGCTTAAATTGTGTAGCTGATCCAAAATATGTGACAGAAACTGTCCAGCAGATGTTGTGATCCATTGCATTAGTAGGCCTAATTTGAAGCTGTTTACTTATTCATAGTTTTTACAGAGCATATTCATTGTTTTCTGTCCATTTTCTATCCACCTTGTTCCAGCTTGTTTCTTAGGGTTTAAAGGTTTCTACGATGGTCTGGATCTTCTCTTCAACTTGGGTGGCAATTTGCTGATACCAGTTTTGCACCTCCTCGATTTTATCCTGGAAACTGGCACGCAGATTCTCTTTGGTCTTCTCAATGTGTTCTCGTAGATCCTCCAGGCGAGATTCCAGTTTCTCCTTTAGTTCTTCAGCCTGGGTCTTCAGCAGCTCTGTGAGGCTTTTGGCCTTATCTTCAGCATTTTGGCGAACTACGTCAAAGTAGGGTGCCAGGCGATCTTTCACATCCTCCATGCCCTGAGCAGCACGAGCCTGGACCTCCTCAAAGTATGTTGCCATTTTCCTTAAAGTTGAGAGAATGACTTCATTACAAAAGAAGAGTCTTGCATTTCAGTTATTACTGTTTTTTGAAAAACCTACGCAGTCTATAAGGTTATTCCTCAAACCATATAATTGCTGAGTAGCAGGGATGGAAAACAGTTAAGTCATTATAGTTTGTTACTATACTTAAGTATTGTTAAACTGCTGTAGGCTGAATAGCTGGCTGTATGTAAATATGTAGGTTTTGTGACATCATAAAAGTCATGAATTTAAAGGGGGCTGATTGCAGCTTAGCTTTCATATGTGGACTGATTGGACTGGGGAGTGAATGGTATGTTTTTATTTTTTTCTTCAACAGTGTTCACATACTACATCAAACTCTTTTACTTCAAAATGCAAATAAAATTTGGTTTTCCACAATATTTATGTCAAAGACACAAGGTAAATTTGTTTTTTCATGATATTTGAAACATCTGTGATATAAATAAGCTTTCTATGGGTTCTATTTTGCCTTACAACACCCAGCTCTTCTGCCATCAAAGCATTTTAAAAAATGTGTTTTAGACACCAGGACAACAACTTACCGTCAGTGTAACTATTATAAAAAATCTTATAGGATCATGAAGTAAATAGCTTCACTGACTTACTTGTTGATCTCCTGGGTGTCCTTGTTCAGGCGTTTCTTCAGCTTGCGGACATAAGCGTTGACTCTGTTTTTGACGTCCTCTGCATTCTGCTCCACCATGGTCTGGAGCTCCTGGCTGTATTCAGCCATGCGTTCTTTGGCATCTACCATATGCGTCTGGAGTTTACTGGCCAGCAGCTGAAGATCTTCATGGAATTTCTCGGCGGTCTGCTGAGCGTAAGGGGTCAGCTTGGACTGCATGTCATCACTGTACATCTGCAGCTCTGCCATGCTGTCACTGATCAGTGTGCTGGAAGATAGAAATAGAGGAGTTTAGGGGCAGAACAGTGCAGTTATTGTGATATTGTGATGCAAAAATGTTCTAAAATTCTATTAATGCAACTTAATTGTTTGCAAACAACCAGCACCATCAACGACCCAAAATACAGTGAAAATTGAGTTGTGAATCTAGTATCGTGACTCAGATCAGGTAGTAGAGTATAGAGTATGTTATACCCATAGAGAGTTTTGTATGGATCACTACAACTGCATATGGTGTAAGAGATTCTGACCAGCTCTTTGGCTTGTAGGATAAACACTTGCTGATTTTCACTTTCTTGCCAATCTGTAGCTGTGTCATTCAACTATTACAACTTTGAAACCATAAAATGAGCTCAAAATAAGAAAAAAAAACCATTGAAAGTTGGTGTCTGAGTGTTCTTTTTGAATTGCATCTTCGGTGAATTTTAATAACAGTATGCATGAAAAACAGCACGGCACAGCAGTGACTTCACAGATGCTGACGTATTATTTTTATGTGAAACAACAATTTTCATGCTTGCTTTTCATTTTAAATGGTGAATGTGCATTACAGCAATTGTCTATCCTGTGATGCATTATTTCATATCATTCTTTTTCAAAACCATTCTTTTTTGAAACCAAAAAGGCAGCAAACTACATTTTAGAGAAGCTCAGATTTTAGTAATTTTTGAAGACTGTGTAAGCTTTTCCATACTCACTCCAGTTCTCTGACAAGCTGGGTGCTCTTAATGTTCTCCCTCATCTCCTCAGCCTTGGAGCTCAGGTCAGCCACATACTCCCAAAACTTATCCACCATCACCTCCCAGCGTTCTTTGGGCTCATCCTGAAACAGGAAGCGCCCTTGGCAGCCTACAAAGTAAAGATATTATACGTTATATAGTTTTTCTGGAGAAATAAAAAAAAAAAGTACAATATTATGGCTTGACTGGACAATAATGATAAGGGGAGTCTGGATATTTAGTCGTATGCAAGAGTTTGGGCGCCCCAAACAAATGACATGTTTTGTTAATTTAAAAAACTACAGAGATCACCCCTCTGCACTTTTCAATGCACGACTGTTGTTTATTTGCTAAATTTAACTTACTGGGGAAAAAATAAAACATAAAATGTGGCCTGTGCAAAAGTTATGGCACATTTTATGTGTTATGTTTCCAATATGTTTAAATCAGCATATGCATAGAAATTGTGCACTAAAATGTTTTAGAGGACACTCAAAAATATCAACCAAACTTGTCATTTAACCAGCGGTGTTAAAACATTTGCATACGACCATACCATCAAGTTGTTCATAGCATTCATTCATGACAGGAAAAGAATCTCACCTGAGATGACTGACAGCGCGAGGATTACAGCCACAAACTTCATGATTATCCACCAGAGAGCACACCTGCAGAAAACACACGAGTCTTGAGATTTTTGAAAGAGCTAAAGTCTGACCAGAAGTAGAAGCTAAATAAACTACTATGAGATCTAGGATCTTAACCTTGGTTCTGACTCACCTCACTGGGCCGAAGACTGGAGTATCTGTGGCAGGGCTTTGGGACTGGCTGGTATTTATATGACATGGATCTAGTCAGATGACCCTGTTAATGGGCAGAACGTGTTCAGACGAAGCTGAAGTGGCATCCCCTGTCCGAAGTTCTCGCTACCAGTTGCTTTGCTAATCTGTATTGCCATATTTCATTCCACGTTGTAACACAGAGGTTCCAAAAGGACATGGCACATACTTCCTTGTACTAAAGTGAAAAACAAACTTTAACATGCGTTAAATGTTTAATAAGCATAAGAAATATTTTAGTGTAATATGTAATCATTCCCCACATTAACAAGCAGCATTTATTTACAAGGTGTGAACAAAAACAGTTCATTCTAAACTGACCCAATCCTCAGGTTTAAAGATTACAGTGGATGGACAGTGAAGTGTGAAAAACTCTGGACATCTAATGCATTTGCAGTCGACAATAGTTTGCAGATTGGTAATTCTTAAATATCAGTAACAGATTAAGTATGTCAGCACTTTGTTATCAACTCAGCAGGGTTGAAGTACTTTTAACTGAGAAGTCTTGACCTATAAACTCACATTTTACATAATAAAAGAGATAAACGCATTCAGACCTATGTACCCTGATTTGTCAAACTGCCTGTAGATAGTCAGAATATGAACAGGAGAAATGTCTAATAGACTCGCTCTTTTTCAAGCATTTTTCAAAGCTTCCAAAACAGATTATTGCTGAAAGAAGCAGTACATAGTTTCACTTTGCTTAAGTGCAACAACCTGCCACTTTAGCAATAAAACTATTAATACACTATGTTAAGGGTTACACTAGTTCAAGGTCCAGGGGCAGTATAAGGAAATTTCCATTAATCTTAGTCATGCATTTTAAAACATCAAAATCTCACGTTGAAATGATTATTTAGAAAGTGAGATGAATGTTGTTACAGTGTTGTACACCATTGTGAATAGAGTAATTGTGAATACATTAATATATACTTCCACTTTCACATATTCCATTTCCCCAATTAGCATCTGAGACAGTGACGTTTGTCTTGGCAGATGTGATCTCTAACAAAAAATACCTACTCAAAATCGCAACAGTATACTGAAAATCTTATGTGAATGAGAATGTAAGTAAGAATATGTTAAGTGTAGTTCTCTGTGTAACATCACAGTGCTTCTCGAATGTTTACTCTTTGTTCTATAGAATAAGTTGCATTGCAATTAGCCAAAGCCTTAATTAAAGGGGTGTTCTGGCCTAAAACTAAAGATTAATGTTATTTGTCATGTTATGCAGTATTCTGTAGTGCAGCATTGTAACGCTCAGCATTATCGGTACGACAGAATTCGCAATTTTATGTTGGTTTCAGGCTTCCTTAGCCTATTTCTGCCACTGGAGAAAAATATATATACAGCCATTTAACTAGTCATAATAATGAGAAAGTTTTCGACTTGACTTTAAAATAGCATTTTATTACTATGACTTGCCGTCTCATAACGATGGGATTCTTATAATTGTGACTTAACATCTCATAATAATAACTATATCATAATAATGAGAAAAGTAAGACATAATTATGAGATACTACGTCATATGAGATGCTAAATCATAATTATGGAAACTTTCTCATTATTATGACTTACTAAATGGTAGCATTTTTACAGTGTCAGAACCAGGCTTCCATAATATACTTTCACCAAAATACTCAACATGCTTTATGCCCAAACCTCAGACAACCGTTGAGAATCCCTGTGGTGTCAACCAATCCTGACTGTTAGCCTAGCCAATCAAGCTAGCAACAACCAAGCTAGCAATACAACCAAGCTAGCATTAGTGTACAATGTATGATGGTTGTTGAACTGAATTGTAAAGAAAACAGCAATTCTGTCATTTTTCAGCACACAATGGATGTCAGCTTTCAGCCAGAGAAAACAAACCAAACTGAGGTATGATATCTTGATAGCCAGTCAACTTGCTAACCTTAGCCTTTAGCTTTTTGTCCTTTGTATCTAGTCATGAGTCATTTCTTTTATTTGAAAATCCATTTTCCCCATAGTACTGATAATTTGAAGGCAGTTACCACAGTTATATATTGCTAAAATAGGCCATTCAGTTTCCTAGCCATAGCCATCAGTCGTGGGCTGGAGGTTAGGGAACCAGCCTTGTGACTGGAAGGTCGCCGATTCGATCCCCTCAGTTGACAGTATGTGACTGAAGTGCCCTTGAGCAAGGCAACTAACCCCCAACTGCTCCCCGGGTGCCGTGGATAGGGCTGCCCACCGCTCTGGGCAAGTGTGCTCACTGCCCCCTAGTGTGTGTGTTCACTAGTGTGCATGTATGTGGATGTTTCACTGCACGGATGGGTTAAATGCGGAGGTCTAATTCCAATGTGTTAAAAACACAGTTGGCTAAAGGTTCATTCATTCATTCATTCATTCGCCTTTCTCTAACATTCACGAGCTACTGAAAAACAATTATAAACAGGCCCTCTCTAAAATCCACTGCAAAGCAGTTGTAAATTACTCCCTGCCCTCAAAATCATCAGAAGGGGATTTTAATAGTCTTTAAAAGTAAGCATGTTTACAACAGATGTAACGTTTAATATTCTCATTTGGGCTTAAACTGAAAACTTTAACTAAAAACTAACTAAAAATGCATTGATAATAATTTTGCACTAGAGCAGCTATTGTAGCTAACAAATAATGGTAGCTTACAGCTATTCATTAACATTGTGCAAACCACATGCCTAAATCGGGACACATTTCACAAACCATACCAAGTAATCGCAAAATTAATCAGTATCAGAAACCACTTAAGCAAGTCTGTTTGAGATCACCATTGAGGAGCACTGTGTACATTAATCTTTAATCAAAGACCACAGGAAGTGCCCATAAATGCTGGAAACCCTTATAGAGTTAGTTTGAGTTAAATGTGTTTTTTCTGTTTGCAGAAGGTTTCAGAATTCTTTTCTTGAAAAAAATGCATTGCAACTTCCTGATGAGTGTAGATCTAACAAAAAAATCAAGATGGCTTCTCAACATAGACTTAGGGTTGCTAAGATTACTTTAGGGGAATTCCACTGATTTTTCAAAAATAAAACAAGAAGAAAATACAACATCAGCTACATGATTTCTGCACAAACTACAGTGCATATTTTTAACATTTCTGTATGCTTAATGTAAGGCCTATGTGCCCTGTAGTGCCTCACTCGTACTCGCTGATTTCCATCTTTCCCTCCAGAGGTCACTGTCAGTTTATGTCAGTTGTTCCTAGTGCTGTATTTGTAATTATTAGATGTTTTTCATGATAGAAAGTCTTTCTGATCATATATCTGTAACCCTCTCCTTTACAACACTATCTGGTTTTGGAGCATTGATTTGTCTCTGTTTTGGCCACCTTTGACTCTATGTGATATCTAGTTACTGAATAATTTGGATTGTTTTTGGACTCTGGACTTAATAAACTTGTTCTTGGATCTTGATGTTCTTCAATTTAAAATTCAAATGTGCATTGTTATCTCAGTGGTTATCTGTGTGTCTCCTTGTGTTAAGGTTGTGTTTTTAATAGGTGAATAATGCACTTTATCTGCATCTGTTTAGTGCTCCAAATATCTATATTCACAATGCCATTAAAAATATAGGGCACAAGTGAAGCACACTGTATTCCTAATACCAGAATAGATCTTTTTCATTAACTATCATTACTCTATATTAGCTTCCAATACATTTCTGACTGAGCTGAACCTCCTTTGATAGCAAGCATATCAGTCCACTAGCTTTTAAGGTCAGCACCCCACTGACTGTATCTACCACCCAGTCCTGCATATAAGGTCTAACTAAACTAAGATAAACATTACAAATAATTGAAATAAAAAAAGTGACTAAGTCTAATATAAAATTTTGTTGAAAACTGTTGCTGACTTTGTATTACCAGCTTTATTTATGATACTACTGTTAAAATTATTTACAAAATGGTAATTTACATATAAAAAAAGAAAGAAATGAAGGAAAAATAAGTAAATTGGACTGTGAGTGGAAAATGACCAGTGAAAAGTGACATTTTGCTTAATACTCTGCTTGACAGCTCCCGACAGCTTTGCCATCAGTGGGCCAACAGTGGCCGCTGTTCTCTTGCTGACTGGGTTTAGAGCTATGAAGACGTTCTAACTGATAACAGAAACATGCAAACATGAAATAAAATATAGCATGTTCCTGTCATTTCATTACATTTTTAACTTTATTTATTCTAAATAGTTGACACAGTCATACATTTTTGAGTATGTGTTAGCTGCACATTAGTTCACGTTATAGCCTTTCTTCATCTAGTAGCACAATGCTAATTCCCACTAGCACAATGCATTAGCATTTATGCTCTGGCTTAAACACAAATATTTGAAGCCTTGGACAGACATTGAGGTATTTTTTTAAGATTTGTATGCTGGGTTCCTAAATTGAATATTTAAACTTATATATTTGAACTTAATATCTGTTAGAAAGAGCTATCTGCTGACCTGCTAAAAGCTGTTTTTGCTTAGCTTTCATAGCATAAGCTTCTATCCTTAGTTTTGTACAGTGATTTACAGTTTTAATTGGTTGGATACTACTGAGTCAGTCTGCTCTACGTGGACCCCAAAGTATTACCTTACCTGAAAATGTTAAGCAAATCAGAGATGGTCAATTCGGAGGCATCCAATGATTTCATGTGGACTGACCATGTAGTTTTTGTGGCCAGTATACCTGCACAAATTTTTTGGCCATCTTGAAAACCTGTTAGTTGCTCTTTTTCTGCAAGCTGGCTAATGGAGAAGGAAGCCAGATAGCTAACGTTACAGCTAGAAAGCTAATTGTCACATCTGTATTTATTCACCTATGCATGAGTGGTATACCAGTGTACTGTATGTTTGTGTGTTTTGTGTAATGCATGCTGGGTATTGTAGTGAAACATTAATAAACAAAAACATGAAAAGGATGCAAAATCCTAAATTCTGTCAAACCATTGAGGATGAGAGATGTACTGCAGAATATTATGTAACATAACAAATGCCCCTTTTAATTAGTTTGTCATGCCTGTAT